CCAGCCAAAAAGGGCATGTATTCATAAGCGCCTCCGAGATGATCCCCCTTTTCCCATCGTAAAGGGTTGAATTTGTCAGCATCTTCACCCCAAATTTCCTTAGATCGGTGCGTATAAATAGGCGTTATATGGAGGACTGTGCCTTTTGGTATAGTATAGTGACCAAGAGTAACAGGTACACGATTGACACGACTTGTACGGGGAACAGTAGGAATATAACGAAGTGTTTCACGGCACACATAGTCAAGGTATGAGATAGAGTTGAGATTTTCATAGTCAAATGAGTTTGCATCTTGGAAGAGCACACGCACTTCTTCTCTTAATCTATCTTGAACGTCTTGATGTTGTGCAAGTAGCCAAAGGCACCAGCTTAATGTGTTACTTGTTGTTTCATGTCTAAGGTAATATAAGTTAATATGCGCTCTATGCAAGTGTTTTTTATATATCTTACCCAGCAGCTAAAAAGGTTAAACACTGTTCTCTTAGTCCTTCTTTTGTAAATCCTTGTCCAGTTCCTTCGTCAATCAAGTCCACCATCAATGCTAGTAAATCTTTGGGACCATCGCTTGTGCGAGATGCCTTTTCCTTCTTTGCTCTTTCGATGCCTGCTTCTACAAGAGCCTCAGCTTCTTCATGCAGCCATCTTAAGCTCCTAACCGTGTTGAATAATCGCCTCGTTGGTAAATAGTTTATAAAAGGAAAAGGAAACTGTAAGATATGTGACCAGGAAAAGCCATCATTGAATATGCTTAGATACGCTTTGCTAATCTTGTGCAGCCTTTCTGTGCCGTAATTCTCAACCGATTTGAAGTCTTGTCCAAAAGCAGTGAGGCCAATCACATCCAAAGTGGCAAGCGAAAGCCCAAGGGAGACTTCAATTTCAGTATACTCTGAGTTGTTCTCAGTCATCTTTTTGAGCCATTGATCACGGAGCTTATAAGCTGGAGTAGCCATGAGAGGAACCATAAAACGAATAGCGTGTACGGAAAATGCAGGATTCAACATCTTTCGTTGGGTGCGATGGACATCTCCCTGTAAAGTAATGATTAAGATTCATATGTCTTTTCATATTCTAGTATTTACCTCAGCGACCAACACTCCGTTACCTGCAAAGCGACGCAGAGCTTTGGAAACAAAAGGAGGCTTTTCAAAATCATATTGTTGCGTTGTCAAGATTTCCTTGAGTAATTTTTCATCAGACACAATCAAACGAGGCTCGTTCCATGCAAAATGTATAGTATATATACCGCCGTACTGTTCTTTCCAACGTATGAAAGGAGATTGATCAATATCGGTTTTCATAATATCGAAAAAGTTACCCATGAATGGTATCCATCCAACACGGGGACCTGGGATTCTATTAAGGGGATGGATATAGAGTCGGTAGATAACCGTCTTGCATAAAAAATATGTTGCAATTCCTGACAGTCCCAGCGTGGCAGCCCATTGTGTATTCGACTGTCTTGAAGGTTTCCATTTTTCAATCAAATGGATCAGGTTTTTTTGAATAATATCCAAAGTTTCGTAATTCATGTTGAAAGGGAAAAAAAGTGAAGGAAAAGAAAAGCAATTGTGCTACATATCTTTTCTTTCTCTCTTTTTATAGACAAAAATCAGTCTTTTCGCTAAATGAACAGTCTATCGGCAAGAATTATCTAAAAAAGGCAAATGATGTATAAACTGTTTTTCCGGTTAAACAGTCTTTTATTTACAGTTGAGCGCACGGCAATAATAATATATTCTCTCCGGCTGAGGCAGATCAAAAAAGAATAAAGAATTGGTGACTAAAAGAGCCTCTTATAAGATCAAGGATAAAAAAGGTATTGAAGAAATGATGTACCAAGTGTAAGATACAATAGTGAAGAGAAAGAGGAGGCAAAGATGGAGACTTTTGATGATGGAGGTAGTCCAGTTCATGAAAGAGCGTGCTGGCCATCGGAGGTATACATTATGTAATTTCCCATTTTGTTCAATTTAATCTCACGTAGCATAAGATGATTCTATTTGATCAAATATATTTATTGCATAAATATTTTATTTAAAAAGGAAAAGGAAGGTAAAGCATATAAGGAATATATAATTATTATTCTTCAATATCAGTTTCATCATCCGTCTCTTCTTCTGTATCGTCTTCAGTTTGTGCTATCTCCTCAATTTCCTGATCCTTAAGCCAGTGTTGGTACTTCTTTGCATGAGTGATTGTTGCTTGCATAGTACAGCCACGGCCATACTTGCATTGAGGCCTCTGACGAATTGCATCTAAGAGTATTATTAGCTTGATTTTTGTTTAATATATGACTTCAACTTACCAGGAATATCAATAGAACAATCGTCTGTTGTCATGTATTTTTCAAGAATCATAGCTAGTACATTTTCTGCACATTTGTGACATATTTTGCTGTCCATAGTGCAATCAAGAGGTGTATCCCATTTTTTTTCTTTTAATATGATAAATATCGATTAACTTCAGACAAATCATTTTTATCATGTAAATACTTACTGTATAGTCTGTCTTGAACAAACTCTTCAATTTCTTTATCAAAGATGTCTTGAGCGGCTAATCCCTGCTGCGAAAGACAAGCTTTGATTAGCTCTTTTTCATAACTGTTAAACTGAGAAAATGAATATTTCTTATGTTTATGGTCTTTGATAGGCTTCATTTCGTTGTCGCTGAGAGCATTAGAGCAAAAGAAGCATGATTTATCTTTGATAATAAGTAAGTAGCGAATTTTGACTCTGCTTTCGTCAAAGACCATAAATTCGTTGTTTTGAAGCTTTATAGCGTCTTCCTGTATGCCAACAAGGTCATTGGTAATACAGGGGCCGAATGGGATACGAACCTATTGAGTAATTTTAATGGGGATATTCAGAAAAAACATGTCGACAACTTACACCATGCTTATCAAAAACTGCATTTAATGGGTTAGGTATCTGCCTACCGACTCCTCGGATAGAGTCATATTGTGTTGGATCTGGTGCTGCTGAATTGTTGTATATTTGCGTTCTACCAAGTGCAACTTCACATAGAAGCATCAGTCTGTAAGAAGATGTTGATGAATTATAATGTTCTGTGCAGTAACCAAGCGACTTTCTAAAAGTGTCAGCAAAGTACACGCCGGTTCCAAGCATAGCACCCTAAAATTTGCAAATTAGTATACTCTTATAAAATGCTTGAAAGAAAACGTCATACATTTGCCTTGGCGGTCAAAGGAGCACCACGTAAGCCTTGTTTCAAGATGCCCATAAAGTTACCAATTCTAGATCCATGCCATAGTAGCATGCGGTTGAAATCTTGTTCATATGGGCGATATCTAATTTGTTCTTCTTGTCGATTGACAGCAAATAGATGGACCAACTCATGGGTTTGACACGTCGACTGCATATACGAATTAACCATATTGTATTCAGTGGCACTATACGATATCTCCTTTAACGAGCAGTTCAAAGCATGATAAGCATAATCTAATGGATTTATCTCGTTCATTCGGTGCTTAGCGGCAAGGACCACATTAACAGCAAAACCAGTATAGCTTAGATTCATCATCCTTGCAACTTGTACATCATAGCCAGAAGCGTCGTAGATTTTCGGTCGTTCTGAGTCCAATAAAGATTTGACACGAGTAGCAGGATGCCCTGCATGGGGCATAATGCGAGAATACTCCAAGCACTTTTGGGTCAATTGAAATGCATACACTACATAGAAGTGATGTTAGCTTGCATTAACTCTATATATACTTTCTATACTTACGTTTAGATTTCTTTACCATAGCAGGGTCGGTGTACTGACTTTTAGCTTCATGGTATTTCTTGTTTATTTCTTTAGCATCCTTTAAGATTTGGAAAGCTTTATCGATTTGTTTCTGTGATATTTGACCAAGTGGCATATCGATTTGCGTTTCAGAATATACTCGGGAAAGGTATTCATAGTTACAGATAAGCTTCATCATGCTCAAAACACCAGCGGGTAGACCAGACGATACGGCAGATGACATAAAGTTGAAATCAGTAAGGAGAGTATCTTTGGGGTACTGCGGCTCTGTCAGTATTTCGTATTTTCCGGGCTTTGGTTCAAAGGATGAGCGATCTTCCCAGATATTTGAGGTTTTGGATTTAAAGATAGACTTGAATTCACAAGCTGCTTCTTCCTCTGTCAAGAATGGAGTTCTTTGGTATTGACCTTCTTGACCAGGTTCACCCCAACGAGTCCAAAGGATGTAAAGGTCTAGTATTCTGTTGTAGATTATGCTCAGCTTGTAAAAGCTATCATGATTTTGTTAGCTGACAAATACAACAATATACATGTGTTTACTTACGTGCAAGCAGCGTGGCCCCAATGGCCCAGTTCTACTTTCAAAAGCATAACATCATAGTATTCGCCGTTTTCATCGCAAATGACATGACCAACATCTTGTAGATTTGAATATTGATCAACCTCTGGAGTTTTTCTTTTGGATTTACCGTGCTTCTTTTTCTTGGCATCTTTTTGTTTTTGAAGAAGCTCTCTTTCTTTTTGAGCATCATCTTCTATTTGATCCACTGATACAATTTCAGTTTCCATAGGGTCTTCAGCGCTATCATTTTCTTCTTCAGTTTCAGTAAAGTTGGCGCAAGTAGGTTCCAACTTTAATAGAGATTCACGTAGAGTCTGGTTTGTTCGTAGGAATCCAAGCTTAACTGGAGAATATCCTTGGTTATCGGTCATCCAAAGTGCTTTACGGAATACATCATCACCCATAGCTTTCTTTAGGCATTCCAACATGTCGGCATTTTCAGATGAGAAACCACTTGGGCCTCCAAGTACATAAGATAGCACGTTGCGGCCATCAGCGTCCTTCCATAACCAATTAATGGAAATCTTTGAATGCTCACAGATTAGCATAACCATCTTCACATCATTTTGTAATATCGCATGTAAAATGGAAGGAATCTTTTGTTTGTGCAAATTTAGCAAGAAGGCATAATCATGGTCAGTATTGTTTTGCGAGCTCTCTACGTTTGGATCAGCCATCAGTTGCAAAAGTTTCTATACAAGTTGTTTTAGCAATTCATAGTTCCTATTTCTACTTTTTTTACTACCTCAACTATAACATAATTATGTTTACGGATAGCAGCTTCCAAAGGCGTCATTCCTGTTGGCTTATCAACATAAGAAACAAGAGGAGTGGAATTTTTAATCATTGTTTCAAATATGGGTTCCTTGCATGTTGGCTTAGAGTATTTTTTGCATTGGTCGTTAAAATCTACTGATACACCAAGTTGTGAAAACAAGAATTGATAGAATATGCTCTGTCCACTAATTGGATCTGGTAGGTTTAAATCAACATTACGATCAAGAAGTATCTATATATATAGGATTTAATTACTCTTATCTTTACCATCAAGCACTACAGCTTACCTTTTGATTTTCATCATTGTTTAAGCCAACATTGTACATAAAGAGAGACCTTCCATACTCGGGATACTCGTCAGGGCCATAGACATTAGGATTTGCACCAGCTTCTAATAGGATCTACAAAAAAGGATTAATTAAGCATCAAAGAAAAGATAAAACTGTGACAGACCTTGAAGATCTTTCCATCGCTTTTACAAGATGCAATGAAAACAGGACGGACCAACACTTTGACCTTCTTTCCATGCGCATCTCTTTCAATTGCTGATGGTCTGTCTAGGTCGGCATTTGCTTGAACAAGCATCTGTAATATATCTGCATTATCATTTTGACAAGCTACCATAACTGCATTAGAGCGACCGTAAAGACTATCTTCATCCGTAGGGGCACCATGATCCAAGAGAAGACGAACGATGTCAGTTTGATTAGTAGCAACCGCTTTCAGTAACATGGATTCATTCTTTTGTACATTATGAGTCTCGATTCTTGCGCCTGCATCGATTAAAGCCTGAGGTTTTGATTGTATGTTGGTTAGATTATTTTCTACGCTATGTGAGTAGTAACCTACTTTAACTATTTTGTAGCTTCCTGATTCTACAGCGTAATAAAGTTCAGACTTGCCGTCCTCATCGAGAATATTGAGTGGTCTATTCTCCATTTGCAAAAGATGATTAAACAGAGAAACCTGTCCATATTTTGCAGCATAGTGTAACGGCGTGCGTTGGTGTACATCCGGGAACAATCCCAGATTTAAACGATCAATTATTGAAATGATTTCTCTCAAGTATTCTTCCCAAATTTCGCTATGAATTTTTATAAAATCAGTTCAAAGCTATTCGAGAGATGACATTTCATATCAAATTACCTATCAAATGGACTAAAACTAGATATAACATGCCATAGATTCTGATTTTCACTCTCGAGAACTTCCATAAGGGCTTCTCTTGATGCAGACTGTAAAAATATCTCGACCATATGAAATTTACCTAAACTGTTCTTTAGTACATGGTTACTTCTAAATATAATATACATTACCATTTACAAGGGCATCTTTTATAAATTCTAGATAGTGAATTAAATATTAGTAACCAAAGATATCGAAAAGATTGTACGTGGCTTACCAATCAAAGTAAAACCCCTTTCCATGATTAAATAAGCCATATTCATTAATGATTTAGACAAGCTATAGCCAAATGTAGTCGTAGTCTGGCCATCCTTTAGGACAATATTACTTTTAGCAGAAGCCCCGGATGAGCATAGCATAACAGCATAATCGACATGATTATTTCTTAATGCTAATTGAAGAGCAGCATTCTATATAAAAAAAATGCATATTAATTCACCGTTGTTAATGCTTTATAAATGAGTATACCTTATCATCGTCAACAGCGTTAATATCAACGTTTTTGCTAAGAAGTAAAGTAGTGCAGCTAAAAGCTCCTACACAAGCTGCATAGTGAAGGGGTGTTCTTCCAAATACGTCTCGAATGTTGCAATCAACGTCTTCATGGCTAGAAAAGTATTTCACTATTTCAATAGGATCAAATTGCGCACTTGAGTCAAGGCCTTCAAATTGGCAACTCTTATATTCCGCTAGGCTCTCTTTTTCCTCCTCAACAAAGTAATAATCTTGAGGGTTCTTTTCTCGCTTCTCTTTTTCTTTTTCAGCAGCTTCCAGTTCTAGCTGTTTCTCCTTGGCAGCCTTTAGCCAACAGTCAGCATATGATTCAGGATCAAGTAAATATTCTTCAGAAAACTTGAGTAGTGATTTCTTCCTTTGCTCTTCATATTTCATAACTTCACACAATTGCTTGAACTTTTTCCATGTAATAGTAGTATGACGGTTCAAAGGAATAAAATTGAGCTGGACAAAAGCATAATGAAGTGGAGTGCGTCCTGAGCAAGAATAGATTGAATCAGAGGCTGACATTAGCATTTCTTTGTAAAACTTACCAAATTTATCAGTGGCGTTCAGGCTAGCACCAGCCTGAATTAAGAGCTTTTCAATACGGAAAGAGCGGTTCGTTTGACTCTTTGTATTCTCTACGGCATAATGAAGCGGCGTTCGATTAAAATTGTTGATAGCATTACAGTTTGCTCCATAGCTGAGCAGTAGCTTGACAATCTGATGCTTCCCTGTTTCCACGGCAGCATGCAAGGCAGTATCACCGTTTTCGCTTACAAAGCTTACATTTGCTCCTGCTTCAAGCAATGCTTGAACGATCTCGACTTTCTTGCTTTTCACAGCCGTAATTAAAGGAGATATACCATTGCTACAAGAGTTGGGGTTGGCGCCCAGTGCCAATAGTGACTGAACAACATCAAAGTTTCCATTGCTAGCAGCAAAGGTCAGTGGAGAGTCACCAGATACCTCGTGCGTATCCAAGGGAATCAGGGATTTATCAGAAACGTTGAATAGATAGGAAATATATGTATCCACTACTCCTTCGAGGTTTAGAGAGCAAGCCACAGACAGTGCGGTAGCAAAGCCTAGTTTTTTTTTAAAAAAAAAAGGTTAATGCAACATTAAAAAAAAAGTATTGTTAAATGGCTTACGTATATTTTTTATCTGATGTTGAATGCTAACTTGCGTGCACTGTAATAGCGCTTTAAACAACTCCATATCACAGGTCTTGATAACTCTCATAAGGACCGTATCACCATCCTCATATTGAGCATTAGGATCAGCTTTTGCAAGTAATAGAAGCTTTACAACAGCAATATTAGGTTCTTTCTTCTTATTTATATCCTTGGAGACAAGGTCCACAGCAGTCATCAAAGCAGAGAAGCCGGATTCGTCACATACATTTATATCAGCATCGTTTGAAGGCACCACTTTTAGCATCTCGGTAAGGTTATTAACGTCCATATTCATAGTAGCCTTCATAATTGATGAACAGCCAGTTGCGTCAGTGATGTATGGGCTAGCGCCATAAAGAAGCAAGGCTTTGACCGTTTCGTTGAGCATGGCAGTAAAATCTGGTTTGTCGAGAGTAAACTGCTTTTCTAGCCTTTCTAGTGCATGTAAACTTCGATTCGGGGCTTCCTGGAACTTGTCTTGTTTTTGGTGATAAGCACCCAAAAGTGCAGTATCGCCAAGCACACCCTCAACATTCACCTGAAGGTTTGGATTACTACCATATTTTAGAAGAAATACAATAAGGTCAACACATTGGGTGTAGGCGGCTAAATGATAACTCGTCAATATAGCTATTCTTGTTGAATAGAAACGATAATCACTTACCAAAGTGTAGCGCGACGTGGCCTGTATTTCTAGGATAGTCTGATATTTTTGCCTTTGGATTTTTTTTCTTATAGTTCTTTGGTAAAGTAATAGCAAGATTCATGTCGCATCCAAATTTAGTAATCACAAATTCTATGTACTTAATCTATCAGCAAACTATTTAGAGAATTCAATATTTGAATACTAAAATTGTTTTACCCATTGCTCAAAACAAAACTTTAAGTTGACATGATGGTGGCTATCTGTTTCTTCCCATGCTTTGCCATAACGGTAAGTGTTTTTATGCTGGACAAAGGCCTTTATCATGTCTTTTTCCCGAGTAATAGCCTTTTTTTGCATTCTAATTGCATTATATACACCATAGGCGATGGGAGGATATCCTTCATTGTTGACAGTATTTATCTAATTTTGCAAACTAATTAAGTCGATTTATCAACACTATAATCTTCTTACCATCAATTGAGCCTCCTTCACATGAAGTGAGTCTGCTTCAATAGCACGCTGGATAGAGTCAGCAATCTTTATGAGTCTGTTCTTTTGCACTGTATCAATCGTACGATGGGGCTGCAAATAATCAATATATGCAATAAACCTAGGAAAGTAGTGAAAGAAGCTATTTCCATCCTGATCTACATCCTTCCAATAACTAGCACCAGATTCAATCAAGAACGCAATCATGTAGTGATTATTGGATCTCATGGCAGAAGCTAATGGTGTCTCTCCATCTTCGTTTTTTATATGAATATCAGCATTGTGCTCCAAAAGCAGTTTAGCAAGCTGTAGATGATATCTGATTCGATCTTCATCATCAGTTTCAAGTCGAATGTGCATATTCCAACCTGGGGGGAGCTTGACACTTTTGTTTCTATTACGATAAAAGGACTTAAACTGTTTTGGCAGGCATTTTTTATAAGTCGTGTCTTTTGCAAGAACGTGAAAGCATGTATCACCTATTTTTGAAACAGATGTTATTTATATCACATATCTTCCAAATATTATAAAGCACTACCGTTGATATCTTTACTGTTCACGTCAGCATTCATAGACAAGAGCAATTTGAACTTTTTGAGGCTTAACTCTTGGTCTTGATCGTGCAGAATGGGCTCGGCAATAGTGGATTGAAGCATGGTACGCCCCTGTTCATTCTTGAAGTTCACGCTGATGAGACCTCCAGGCAAGTTCAGCAAATACTTTACAACCGCAACGTGGCCTTTTGTGTTGGCGATTGAGCATGGCGTAGTTCGCCATACGTTGCTTAGTCCTGGATTAGCATGACCATAGTGAATCAGTAAATGTAGGATATCGAGGTGTCCAAAAGCAGCAGCATAGTGAGCCGGGCTGTTTCTTGAGTTATCCAATGCATCAGCATCTAAGCCTTGAGACAAAAGGTACTTGACAACTTCAAAGCGGCCAAATTCACAAGCTAAATGCAACGCGTTCTTTGAGAACTTGTCTGTTTTCTCTATATCAGCATTTCCTTCCTCTATCAGCGCGCGGACACACTCAACATGACCATATCTTGCAGCAAGCATCAAGGGTGTTTGCTTTTCTATATTATCAACAGCATCAACTGGACAGCCGTGACGAATTAAGACTTTGCAAGTTTCTACATAACCAGAGATAGCAGCGAAATGAAGTGCATTTCTTCTGTTTCTGACAAAAGTTTGAAAGATGACAGAAGCATCAGTACTAAGTTTTTCCTTAAAGTGCTTGATGATCAATTCGACATTGTGAGCCCTGTCAAATCGAACAGCTTGTATAAATGGAGTAGATTGGTACTTGTCTGTTTGCATAATGTTAACACCTTGAGAAAGGAGATATTCCAAACATGCACTAGTCTCACTTGCAGCAGCAAAGAATATGACAGTTCGTCCATGGCTGTCAAAATACAATCTTTCGCTAGCATCGAGCGCTTCATAAAGCTCCTTCAAATAAGTGGCAGAAGGATTGATAGCAGCACAGTGGAGTGGTGTGAGATTATTTGCATCAAAGGCTGCTTTTAATATTTGCGTTTTGCGATAATTTGAAAGTGGTTCTCCGTTGATAAACTAAAAGTACAGGTTGTTTAGAAGAGTCACTGGATGAAACATTGTGTATTTACCTTTAGAGTTTCAATATGAACCGTATTGAAAGGAGTCTTTCCATGAAAATCCGAGTCCATCAGCGCAGATGCTAGCTGTCTATTGCCTGACTCCACTGCATAGTAAACTTCAGCGGGGCCAGTTTCAGTATGAGCCTTGAGGTTTTGAATAGCGTTAGGCTGACTCAAAATTGGACTCGAAAGATAAGGCATAAAGACATGCAACTTGGAACGATAAGATTTTATGTCCAACTTAGAGTGAATTGACAAGAGCTCGGTGGAAGTATTGTATCCATGGTAGAATGCAGTATCACCTTGTCTATTTCCTCTTGATACCTCGACTTGTCTATACAGATTATAAATAAAAGCAGTCAAGCATAGGACTATATGTTTTCATTCACCTGTAAGACATTCTTCCGTACGCACCCTTTCCGTAGTTGTTTCCGGTACTAAGAGAATGACGTGTATACTTTGTAGGAACTGTGGGCCGCGTAGCAGAATTTAACTTGGGATCTTCCTGTTTCTGCTTGATCAAGCGAGTAAACTTTTCTTTTCCGGTGGCAATAGAGTATTTAAATATATCCATATAATTCGGCATATCCGTATTCGGTTTGGGAATATGCTCCGTATCATCAAAAGCAACTTCAAAAGCATTGAGATCGTCACGTTCAAGATATTCTTTAAAACAGCGAGAAGCACAAGCCAAACAACAATCTTTACGATGAATAGAATGCACATCTTCCATGATTTCATCAACATTCATTGATTCCCTTTGAGCCTTTCTGGATGCCCTTTCGAGTGCCTGAGCTTCAGAACGTAAAGCGGCTTTTGACATGCGACCGCCACCAGACTTGCCTTTTTTAGCGCTAGTCCTACCATCTGTTGATGACTTTCTGCGTTTAGCGCCACTTTTTTTGTTGCCAACAGGGTCCTCATCATCACTATCATCAATTGCTTGCACATATTCTGGTCGCTTCAAAGCCATGACTGCGCGGACTTTGGAAATACGAGATGAGCCAACCCTCTGGCTTTCTCGGATACTATAGCCTGATTCCTGAAGAACTCTTTCCTGATATGCAGATAAGATATCCAAAGACTCGATCGATTCCTCCGTTTCCCATCTAGCATCAGTGCTTCCTTCGCGTTGAACCAAATAATGTCTTTCACCCTAAACAGCAATTTATCAGACACACAAGGCCTCAATAGGCTGACCATATCACTTACAGACTGTATCTTGAAATCAGAAATATCCATTATACGTCCACCTACTTCTCTTTCGGCAGCAACACGAACAGACGATTTTCTGCCACCAGCACGAGTAGATCTTTTTTTGGCCGAGTATTTGCTCATTGTACGAGTCTATTAAAAATATAAATCAGATACGCTGATTTTGGAGAATATTGTTAAAGTTACTTGATCCTTTGTTGATGAGGTCTTTTTTGAAGTGCTGCGACGGTTTTTTGAAAGAATTCGTGACATTATTCTTTTTTTTTAAAAAATGGTATTTTAAAAAAGCTAAAAAAAATGAAAGAAAGCACTCTGCGTTTATATACTTTTTAAAAATAAACCTTGATTAATTTGTACAACATGCATCAAAAGGAGGCTGTGGACAATGGTTGTCATAGCAACTGAGTTTAAAGACTGTTACCATAGCAACCGAGCCAAAACCATCACAAAACCCTTGAAGGTACGATGTGTGCAGCTTTATTTACTAGGTGGTGTATTCATATTTTCATAATATTGAGCAATTGGAGTAATGATAAATTCGTCTTTGTATTGTTCTAGGTCAAAGCGCTGTGGCATTTGTTCAAAAACAAGGAAACAGGCACTACTGTCATACCGCTCCAATACATGTTTACCAGCCTTACTAAACACTTCTTTTGCCTTGTCCATGTCTAAATGACCGCTTACAGATTGAACATGGAATGCAGTCGTTTGATTAGTCACTATTTCGTCATTGACAAAGTCAAAGCAATCGAATGCAGATCTGACTAGAACGCTTTTATTAAGGCTGTTCTTTAACGCTGGATGGACAGTATGGGCATCGAGGAACAAGTTGACCCGTGTGGACCCGTAGTTGTAGATCTCTTCATCTTCGCCGTCTTCATACCAGTTATCCTGTTCATCATCTGCTAATCTGTCTATTTTTGTATGCCTTTCTATCTGTGGTTCTTCAGCTACCTTGTCGAGTGGATACCGCAATTGCTCTAGGTAAGATGCAAGCTTAAGGAAGGCTGAACCGGTCATGAAAGCGTCATAGCCAGCTTCATGAGCCTTTTCGGCCAGGTAGCGAGGAAATAGAGGATGTATATCAATACGAGGGTTGGTGAAGGCTTCTCTACTGGTTTCAAACCGCAGCTGTTCCAACGCGGTTGTAGTACCAAATATTTTCTATAAAAAGACAGTTCATGACATTGGCGTACATAAAAATGAGCAGCTTACAAATAATTCAGGTTCAACTGCGCACATGTATTTGGTATCAATCATACTATGGTTGCACTCTATAAGTTGACTAATTTCTGTTGTCGCTCTTTATACTTACTTTGGAAACATTTTGTGAGCCAACGTTTTGAATTCTTCAAGCTTCTCAGGCAAAGGTTGAACAAACTGCCCTATCATGTGCGACACGTCCAATAGCATGTTGTGGCCTACAATCATCTTTCCCGACTCTGAAATCATATCAATAACTTTTCTGAATCCTACAGCAAACGTGCAATCTTTTTCAATCTTTTCCAGTCTTTCTTTCATACGTGTCTCTTGTTGTTCCTTGGTAAGTTTGGTGACGCGAATAAATCCTTGCATGCCTATGGCAGTTAAGCCTTCATACCTATTTGACAACAGTTTTTAATAATTGTGTATTTCCCATTTTATAGTCTATAAAGGGATTATTTACTTATTTCTGACCTCTTGATAAACAAGTCTTCGCTGGTACGCGTTTCTTGCTACGATATTGACTCCTTCCTCCCTTTGACTGTCTTCTAACCATTCATCTATCAATTTTCGGACATTCTGCATAAATGGAACCTCTTTATCATCAAGAGGAATATCAGGTATATCATCTTTCATCCTTCTAGCTGCTTCCTTTCGATGCAATTCTTCTTCTTTTCGAGTAAGGTAAGGAATACCCTGATAGACCCACTTGTTAAAGTCAAAGGACTGCTTGACTAAGAAGTCAAATGCCTGTGCTTGCGTCATAAAGAGTCGATTAGTGTGAACGGTACCTGTGGCACTTGTAGGGAATATATAAAAGTTGAAGGGTTTAGCAATGTAGCGACCAGCTGAGTCCCAGGTAAAGGTACAGAGGCCAAACTGAATAATGAGAAACCGTTCAGTCGCTTCTTTATATTCCTCGTACCGTTCTTGAAGAGAATAAAGCCTTTTGGTGGCTAAAGGACGATGAAGGCCTATATATATATATCGTTTATGTAAGCTTGGAAAATAGTAAACAAACAATAGAATATGCACCAGACAATTCTGTATCTATTGCAATTACATCGCACTCTTTGATGGCTTTTTCAATTTCTGGTAATTTGTCGAGAAACTGATGGCGTAAAATCTCCATTTTTTTTATGTATAAAAAAAAAGGTAAAAAGCAATGGAATAAAAGGCGCGAGAAGAGCGCGTCAGTAAATTCATGCCCCGTTTTTTTTTTTTTATTCCACAAAGCGGAGTACAATGCGGCTGGTAAATTTTGTGATCGAAAAATAAATGTCACAAACCTACTAAATCAAATTAACGGCTAGTTAACTGACCATCGTCTCTTTAAAAAGATAATACCTGTATGAAATGACCAAGCGATTGTAACCAAAACTTGACTACGATCTGGCGATAAGCTTGGTGGAGGATCATTCTGCTTTTGTGCGAGTAAACAATTCAGGGCATGATCCCTTTTCTCTTAAGCTGGTTAGAATTTTCTTGAAATTCAGTACGGCTGCAAGATCACGATTTCACAATCTTGGTTTTAATTGTTCTAAACAGCCAGAGTTTGTATAGTGAGAACGGTAAATTTTGTCACTTTGAGAAAATTAAACATCCGTAATCAAAAAATAAATGTCACTTTCTAAAAAATTAATGGCATTAATCCATAAATGATTGTCCCTTTATGCCTAGAAGTTTTGTCCTTTTGAAATAAAAGAAATGCCTCAATAAGTTAAATCGAATTGACCTAAAAGTGGTATGTATCTTTTGACTTCAAAATGATTAGAATGGAGTTTTATTATAACAGTGAATGATTTGTCGTTTAGAATGACTGGCAAAGTTGTATAGAATTTCAGCAGGTATGGCATTACATGTCTCAGCAATTCTATCAGACAATTTTTCTTCAGTCAATCGTACAGTTGCCGAAATGGAGACGAAAGATGTGGTACGTCCCACCCCTTGGTTTCGCAGATTCTTTAGCCAGCGAAAGTAACCCGCCCACAAGTCAAGAAAAAATAGAACAATACGTTTAGAAAGCTATAAAGAGATATAGAATATAGAAAACTTCGTATTTTATTGTTATTAATTTAAAACTACGAATAAAAAAGCGCGGCTTAGAGAGTTTAGTACCACATCTGAAGTCGAAATGGAGGCAACTAAGGTTGAATTAGGAACGCATTCAATTGTTGTAATCCATAACAGAGTACAGTTGGCCTAGTCTTTCTCTTGTAGGGTCTTGGATTGCGTACTGTTTTAAATTTCTCCAACCTACCCTCACATAAAGGACAGAAAGACGACGTTCTGAATTCATCAATTAAGAAAACTTCGAAACCGTTTTTTTTTTTTGGAGCATTTGGATCAGGCCCTTGTTTCTTGTTGGCTCTTAATATTTTGTGTTAGGAGCAGGCCAATTAACAAGAACAAGAACAGCATCAGAATCAAATTTTTGTTTGAGCTTTTTCACCAACAAAAGGTCATCTTGATCATAATATAGTTTGAAGGAGAGTTTCATTTTGCGGAACGACAAGACTTGTAGCTTTTCCAATATTTGGCCTGCCTGCTGCTTTAAACTGTCTTGATCACTGCTTTCTTTGGACATTTTTGCTACAGTCTCAAGTAACTTGGCCTTGTCATTATTATCTAAACGTTCTGATATGTGTCTCTGCTTAACCATCAGCTTCAAATAAGTAGCGTGCATAACGATACTAGTAGATTCGTCGGACTAAGGGAAATATCCACTGGTTCTTGTAACGAACAAATCAGCCTTGTTTTTCAAATGGAAGTCAAAGCAATGGTTGAAAAATAAGCATGCCTTGTTTGCAGTATTTCATTTCCATAATATGAGCAAAGTAATTTTTCAACCGAAGCTCTTGTCTTGATATACATTCGTATTCTTCTATTTTGACATAAGATGACTTGGTCTTTGCGAGCTTTGCTTCTGATGACTTGACAGAAGCAAGCTTGGTTTTCTTTTGCAGAATTCTATAACGCCTTGAAACCTTTGTTCTTGTCAACTTTATGTAAACCATGACTTGCTTATTTTGTACGGTGCTCGTCTCCTTCATACAGTAGAGTTGATCTCGTCTTCCAAGATCCATCAAGATACACTTACTCTTGGTTGTTGTAATCATTCTTTATTTTTCGAATTGTACAACGTAAAAATATAATGCAGTAATACTATAAAAAACTTTTTTTTGATCCTTTATCTTCTTGAGTGAGAAGCAGAGAGACAAACCAAAAAGAAAACAGGGATAGGAAGGCGGAGACAACCAAGAACACTTAACTCTCGTGTAATCATGATGACATTTCATAAATTCGTATACTACATCAAAAAATCGCTATCTACTTTTCGATAACGCACAAAATTTACCAGCCGTATAAGGGTATCTCTATTTATGATCATTCATGATAAAAAAAGGACTCTAATGATTTGATAAATGACGTACAAGCACCAGTGTTTGTTCATAAACCAAAAAGTTTAAAGAATGAATAGGAAAAGCGCGTATTAAGGTAACCGAGATGCCTCTGTAGAATCCAGCAATTCCATTTCGTTGATAAATCTCTTGAACACACTGCTTTGTGCTTTTGTACTTTGGGAATGGGTGCAATATCTCTTTTTGGATTAAACTCTTCACAAGATCTAGTGGGAATACCACAATCCAGCACATTATGCCGCAAATACCCCCAGCAAGAAACTGCGTACCTGGTCCTGCTGTTGTGTTTTGTAGGTGACTTAGAAGATACTTTGTTGTCTCATAGCCCCCAAAATAGACACCTGTTCCGATAGCATCTCTTGCTGTAATTGTAACAACAACAGTCCGATTAGAATTCCTTCTTAAACTTTCCTTTAGCATTCTGCTTTTTTCTTTACATTACCCAGGTGAAGACTAAAGCCGCTGTATAAACCTAGAAGCCCTCTCTTTTTTAAGATTTCTTTTGCAGAATGCCAGCTTGATGTCGAGGTGTACATGGTGCGCTTATGTGTTATGCAAGGTGAGGTATTTCTTGGTTGTGGAGGACTAGACGTCGGTGTGACAGGAAGTCCCGCGCCTACAGTCCGATTGATAGTGGGTTTAAGGTCATTATTCACAGGACGCACCATGGCTAGATCACCTGTAGAAATACTACTGGCCTGCAGCAAGTATTCTAACTGTTTCTGTATCTTGACAAGTTCAAAAGGGCAGCTTAAGGAAGCAATAAACGCACCACTGACTGAACCTGCCGTTGTTGATACATTCATGGTTGACAGTAGTGTATTTTGATCAAATACTGCTGGACTGTACTGTTTACAAAATGCTTTGGATTGTTCGTAAACTGAAAATGATATAGACTTGATGATACTGACTGTAATCAAGGGTGGTATGATGCCTTTATATATAGTCAATACACGTGAAATCATCCATTCATGCTTACTTGCCTCTAAAAAACCCTTGTATGCCCTCTTCCTTATAGGTCTGTTTGATACATGCCTTGATAGAATCATAGTGTTGAGTTTGAAGCCTTGTTTTTATAGAATCAAACTATAATATGCAGATAAGCTGATGATTGTACGTGTATATATATATATATATCTATTACTTTACAGGATAACCTGATATCACGCCAACAACAGCTGCTGCAGAAGCGGCAATGACTGTTCTATTGGCTATTGATATGTAATATTAGATATTAAAAAAAGGGAATAGTTGCATATTTTACCCCACAGAATTTCCTGATATAAGAACTGAAAGGGTAAAGGGTGAATCTTTCTTTCTAATTCCTCTGGTTTTGGCATGTCGTAAAAACAAAAAGAAGGGAAAAAAGTGGACCTTCACGTAATTGGTCTTTACTTATCTGAGATATTCCTGCCAATCAAAACAAGAGCACAGGTTTACTTTTTTGAACAACTTCATTACCAACATTGAAAATAAAACACTACTGCTTCTCTTCCTCTTGTTTAAACAATAAAGAAATAAAGAAACTATTGATTTATTTTAAAAAGAGATATGAATTGAGCCATCTTCTTTATTCATTGAAATTTGGTGTCTTTCTGTTGTCAATCGTTGTTGCTCCGCTGTTTTGATCTGGTTGTATTTTACAATTCTCCTTTCTTTGATATTTGACTGAAGATGCCCCTATCCATTCAATATTTGATTGAAAGATTCCTTCGCTGCTCGATATTATATTGAATCGCCTCATCGTACCAACCTCTTGATTCTCTGTTGCCTCTCCCTCTTCCCCACTTTCTTTTCCATACCCTCCATCCTCTATTCTCTGCCCTCTACAATCTATTTCCTCATACTCTTTCTCTTTCTTTCTTTCTTCGCTGTTCCCAAACGCACACTATATACTTGCCTATTCTGCTATCTTTATTCATCAACATTTTAATCCAAGATCGATACATAATATATGAATTAAACCGCTTGTTATTTATAGCTTTGAAAAAGATTTCAAGTTTCACGTTAGATTAAGATATTAACTGGCTGTTGTGCAGTTTAAACTGCTTACGACGACAAAGCAAAACATGCTTACATACACTGTATGCCGTCAACTTTTTTTTTTAAAAAACAAGCTTTGAGAATCCATTTATGCAATCTTATTTTATGCGCTCGATTTTGCGCTTATTTTAATAATAACTTTATGCTAAATCACCATCTGGGCTAATCTTGAGCTTGACTGATGTTTAACTGTTTTTAGGGCATACATCATCATCCGAGTCTTGACTGAGTTTGTTCATTAAAGATGTTATACCAAGATCAAAGCTTAATATGAGCCCCATCTCAATAACAACTTTCCTATGGAAACGGTCTTCATCCTTGTCTTTTTCATTTTGTGGCATGTGATTTGTCAGCGTATAAAATTTCTTTCTTTTTTTTTTTCAGGGTATTATTTTATGTTTAAACATATGTTTGACATTCCAAATCAGTTTATCGTTTCCTCACGACTATCAACACTTGACTCACAGGACATACTCGCTATTCTTCAGACAGCGCAATCCAAATGGGATGAACGCATTTTACTTCAACGAATGAGAAAACACCCAAAGACACCGCTAATATGTATTGGCATATCCAACCCACAAGAACTTGAACGTGTGATTGGCCATGATATACCTGTAATTCATATACAACCTGATTGTAAAGCGCTTCAACGTGTACGGGAACGTCATGATCGGTATCAAAGCTGTATAAACCAACTGCTATGGATTGGCACAAGTTCATTATGGGGATTATTAGGTTATAGTATCCAGATCATAGTAGGTCCTTCGTCAGACACGGTAGCTACTGCAATACAATTAAATCCAACTGTCTACTCGGCTGGATATCAACTCTATGGCTTTGGACAAACCATATGGAACAAATTAGCAGTAAAGAAATTCATGCAAAGGGTACCTCCCAAGTGGTTAGGTATCCTTTGTGGCAGCAGTGTCTGTTTGAGTCTATGGACAATGTATCTTATGCGTCGAATAAAGCAGCATTACAAATTCATTAAAGATCATGAGCATGTGCTTCTGATGAGGAAAGACGTGATGAGTGCAAGAGGTCATTGTTGGATGCAGCTGTTCTTGCCAGTGTGTGCATTCATTGGCTACTCATTTGGACAACTCCAATAAACTTAAAACCCCGTGTAACATAGGCGGGAAACACTCCAGAGCAAGCAACTTGGTTTGTGTATGTAACATGTGGTTTAGATAGAATAATTGATGTAATGAAAGTGTACAGAAAGCAAATCTTCTGACGACAAGCAGAGATACTTCAAAAACAAATTATGAAGATATGAGCTTGAGAAGCAGCAGAGTCAACGTTATCTACATAAATATTGAAGCATCTCGCAATGTGTGTGATCTTTAGTAACAGAATATTCAAGCTTTGATAGTATTGATGATTGTCTTATTGTGAACAGCATAGTTTTATTCATGCAAAAGGCTGCTATCAAATCTCAAAGGTGTGATCTCGAACCAGTTCTTTTGATTTAGTAAAACAGGAAAATAGCTCATGTCCCACGTGGTATCTATAAAAAAGGCATCTGATGCATCGTTACAGTGCATATGATCGATTAGTCTATTTCTAAAGTAACGGCTAGCTTTTTTTTTTCTTGCTAGTTTACCTAATCATTCCTGACTCTTTTGCTCAAGTAACAGACTATAAAGAGAATAGTACCTTCAGCTACTGTATAATTACCATTGAAGAAGGCTATTTCTGATTTACATATCGACTTGTTCTTTTGGTTTCTGCAATATTTGTGTATCGAGCCTTTGGGTAAAGATTACTGCTAATTCTATAGTACAGTGATTTTTACTATACAAAAAGTCCAAATGTTAAACTACCGAGAGTTCTTCTTTGATTTTGTGAGCAAAAGCTAAAAAAACATAGTGTAACTTGGATCATCTTTATTTAACATTGGTCTAATGTTAAAAAGCAAGCAATTGCTATTCTTGGATCGTCTACATAAGTTTTAAAGGAGATTTATTCTTTTTTGGGCAAATAAAAAGCAGAGCTGACTGGTTGAGTCTTGTCCAGTGCATGACTAGATAAAAAGAAAGCCCAATGTAGTGCAACGATAAAAGTCAAGCTGTGACAATAGAAGATAAGCATACTGTGATGATTATTTGTTGAGTATTCAAGGCACTGACTCAAGAGCCAAGCACCAATCGAAATGCGAATATGAGTGATGAATCCAATTTTCACACACTTTAGCAGTCTGCATATCTTGCTGATTCAACAACTCGACTAACTACCCTTTTTCAGTTAGACCTTCTCTTTTAATACCACCTTTAATCTTGGACGGAATAATAGCTTTTTAACCGTGATCAGCAATTAATTGTTGAAACAACAGAATTTTAATGAATGTTGGCGTTGTCTATTTATTCATTCTCAGCTAATAGACGACATCAGATATGTGTAGTTACTCCTTATTTGCGCCGTACCCGTTCTTTTTTCGATTTAAAAGTAAATGTAGACAACTGATAGAGAGTTCTTTCATAAAAAAAAAGTGAACAGGACTGGGATTCCTTTAACTATTACATTCATATGAAGATTTAAACAAGGTCAAAAAATTCATTCATATTATAATGGACTACAGAAATGACCTTGACTGGATCATAAACTCCAAATTTTCAGTAGAAGTGACTCAATATACTTCATTTAAAAAGTAAAGATATCGTACGCATATTAATATATATATGCTTATGTTTAAAAATTGTAGCGAATCCTTAAGTTAAAGCCGAGAAAAAAAGCAGAACTGAATCCATGGCTGGTGAAACATCATTGATATCAATGTCAAACCAATTAGATTCTGAGAGCCTGTATAGAGATGATGCAGGTCTGTATATTTAAAATTGTCTGAAAATTAATGTTCTTTTGTATCTGAATTTCCTTTTTTATCTTGCCTAAAAAAAGGCAAGCAAATGTTTAAAAATTAATTTTGATTCGTCCAAAAAAAAACTAACATTGTCTGAATTTAAAGTGCGAATACTGTACTGCGCGGGGAGATGTATGCATCATAAAACAGATCCATCTATCATAAAAGAAATTTAAGAGCAGATCTATTTTAACATACTCTGTTTGTCAGTGTTTGTTTATCATAAAAAGTGTGAAATGACAAACAATGGGCTTTTTTCATACGTCAAAGAATATGATAACGGGATGATTTCTCTATCATTCCTTCATGGCTCATAGTAAGTACTTTTGAAGATTATTTACTGAGATTATCGTAAAATACTTTTTAATAAATAAATTGGTATGCTCTTGTGATAAACAAGTGATCTGAATCGAGTAGAAAAGCAAGCAGGTAATGTAATTTTTGCTTTAGGCCCTTTCTGTTTGAATGGCGCTTCTTTAGTTTGTATCTCAGCAGTACATTCATTGCTGGAGGAAAGAGAAGACGAGAATAAGCATGTTAGATTGATTCGTGTATTTTTTTTTTGTTAAGGCATATCCTAGAAAAGTATGAAAACTTGCATATGGCTCAACCTTCTCAAATTGACAAAGACAGTGCCAGCAAGCCCGTACCTCCCAGACTTTTTAGTTTATTTCCGAATCCTGGATTGGGCTGGCGATTTATAAAGGTCGATGCTCAGAACCTCACAGGCATTTTCCCCGAGGCAAAACATGAAAAGCAAATCAACGAGTCCCCATTTGATCATAACCAAAGGCAATTCTTCCATATGTTTGACTTTAAAAAGCTGGGATTTCGAAGGTACTACTGTTTGATATTTTTATATTCAAGTTATTAATAATAATCATGTAGTTGGGAAGAGCTCAAGAATATACCCGAGCAAAGAGGAAGAATGCTCCTTAATGGAATGTATACCGACGGCTACACGTGTAGATTGCTGTTCTGTAGGAAGGTGCTTCCGGCGTCGGCAGCAGATGACGTTTCTCTAGAATTAAATGATTTTACGACTGACGAAATAGAAGAATACTTTCGTCCATGTACTGTGGGCCCAGGAAGAAAGGATGCCTTTGTCTCTTATCACGGAGGTACCGATGTACGCCGCTTGTCCTCTGCTGAGTACTACGGTATGGGTGGAGCTATAAAACGACAGAAAGTACAGCAAGAACGCAAAAAAAAGCTTAGGCATTGAAAGCATTGAAACAAATATGCCAGCATCGAAAACTGCATCTATTCAACGACACATGACATATCTAAATTATATACTGCGACACGTGGACATCTTGCTGAACTTTTACAATTTTGAGACCGCAAAACTAAAATGGCTAAACTATGTTGGGTCTCAAAAGGTCATTCAAGAAAGTGTAAATATACTATTGAATGGTGGTAAAAAGTACAACAGATCAAGAAGAAAAAACACTAAAAGGAACAGAAAAAAAAAGGAAGAAAGCACGAAGGTCTGCGGTTGCCAACGAGGAACACCCACTTCCTATACCACGATCTGAAAGGTATATAATTTTTTTCCTTTTTCGTTTTAGTATAATCTAAGCATTATTCGTATCTTACAGCAGGAAGAATAAAAACCGTTTTGAAGAAGGCGACTGTAAAAAAAATGCCTTTGGTCATCTTTGGTGACGGTCTAAAGAATAAGGACCATGTTAGGTTTAAAGGTCTTAGGCATGGTGTCTCGAACAGAATCTACAGGCAATTGAAGCACAGAGAGGGCCTTGGAGAGTTGTTACTTCTCGATATCAACAAATTCAAGACCTCCAAGGTTAGTATAACAATGATCATAGATCATACATTCTAAACAATATCCTTATAGACCTGCAACTCTTGCTTAAGCCAAGAGCTTCAGAATCTAAAATGTGGAGAAGGTGATAATGTCAAAAAAATCCATCAAGTATTAAAGTGCAACACTTGTAATATTTTTTGGAACTGTGATGTAATGGCCGCCAAAAACATGCTTCTCATTGCACATTGTGTTTGGAATGGTCAAGATCGACCCAATGTCTTCAAAAGACAATTCACCACCTCCAATGTGGCTGCCTCGTTTCACTCCGGTGGGGCGCTGGCTTAAAGATTTTACATTCTGAAAGACTGTATTCAAGAGCTTTAGTAAAGTGAAAATCTTCTTCACTCATGCTTCAGGCACAAAAATATGCTTTTACCGAATATGCAAAGTTACTAATAATATTAAAACGCTTCAAGAACAAGAAGTCTGTAGGATATCTATTCTGTACTCCCTTCCTGGAGATGGTTGTAAATCCAAGTATCTTGAAACTAACAGAAAAAAATAACAAAGTGGGTATATACCTACTAGGGTCATCCTTTACATCAAAATAATCAGCTGGCTCTGTAGCTTTCTACTAGCAAAATATGAATGCATAATATATTGTATATAGCACACGAGAAAGTGAAGTTGTATTAAGTTAATATTTTTCACCTCTGTAGTGTTTCCTTTCATTCAAATGTTGCATAGTTTACTGAAAATACAATTATTGACTCTACTAATATTGAACAGCAGCCTAAAAGCCAGCTCAGCTATTCAAAAATTGTAAAGTAGTACAGATAAGAATAGTTTAAAATAACCATAACAGGAACTAGAAGTTGGTAGTATAAATAAGGCAATTTATAAACTTTCTTGCATTGATCATCAATCATCGCAAACTGTGCTTACATTATATGAAAAAGCATCTTCATAATCTTTTCATCTGTTTTTAATTCATCTTTATAATAAAAGGCACTATTTCAATCTCTCTTTTTTTTTAAAAAAAATCCATTTTACTAGAGACGTCCTCATCTTTCATCAATGTACGTAAATTAGATTTTCATTATATGTATTAATTCAAAGGTAATGACGAAATATACGTGACTCAGCCTATCATTCTCATCAATACCACCTTTCTTCTTTTGAGAATACAAGCATTTGATTTTCCATTTACTTCAAGATTGGACAAGCAAACAAAACAAGTAATTTGACTGGAGTTTATTATCACTTTATTTTTCCACTTTTTCCTTACTCGGTCCAGGTACACAATAAATTGTAGCCGAAACAAGACGTATCACAAGGCATTTTTCATTTAAAAAGGGATAGCAATAAAATAATATTTTTGTTCCCTCCCCTTCTCTGTCTCACTTTTTGATATCAAAATCTAAAGTAGCTATGGATATACAAGTGACGTACGCCTATGTATACAGTATATTCTATTTTTTCTTTTAAGCTGTCGTTTTCCCATTGAAATAGAATGCATTTCACACGCATAGAAAAACTTAATAAAGTTGATACTCAGGTACCCCGAGTCACGTTATAAAAAAAAAAAAAGATCAGTTGTTTTGAGATTTAAAAAGAATAAAAGCTTTTTCAGCTGATCTTTTTTTTTTTTTTCTTCTTTTCTTTAATGACTTCACTCAAAAGTAGCAGCAGTAGCAGCAGTCATAGCAGTAATAGTCGATCACCTTCATTGAACACAACGTCGACAACAAATACCTTCCTGTCTAATTCACCTTTACCAGCACTCTCAATCACCAACAAGCCATCGAATGGAACATCACTTTACCATACATGTCGCTCTGTACTAGAGAAGCTATCTCTTGTACCAAATATGGAATACTATATTGATTACACAACAGATGACGATACAACACCTTTAAATAAGTTATGGGCTATCTGTAGAAGAGGCTTTCCTTTGGCTGCCTTATTTAATGCATTAGATCCTCAAGAGCCCTTATCAGTCGATCCATCTTGTACTCAAATTAATGAATGTAAAAAGAGCATCTACCATTTTATTGTTGCCTGCAGAAATCAATTGGGTATTCATGAAGATGATTTATTCACTTTATCTGACTTATACAAGGATAATACCAATGGATTCGTTAAAGTAATAAGGAAAAGACCATACTATAATATCATATTTATCCCTTTTTATTATAGGTTGTGAACACCATTGATATCATCTTACAAATGCTAGAAGAACGAGGCGTCATCACATCCATCAATCACAATAGAAACTCGTTCAATGAACCAAAAGATGCAAGAGATAAAGTCGTACTTGAATTATTAGAAACTGAAAGAAAATATGTTCAAGACTTGGAGATATTACAGGCAAGTGCGGATGATGCTAAGAAAAGCGACGAGTAACTTACTTTATTTACAGAATTATAAACGTGAATTACAGCTACAAGAAATATTAAACCCAGATACAATTCATTATCTCTTTGGCAATCTCAATACTCTCGTAGACTTTCAAAGAAGATTCCTCATTCAACTAGAAGAAATGGCCGAAAAATCGCCAGAGGATCAAGACTTTGGTTCATTGTTTATACAAAACGAAGATTCTTTTACTGTCTATGAGCCTTATTGTTCCAATTTTTTTTCGGCTCAGGACTTGGTCGTACAGGAAGCGCCTAAATTACAAAAATTGGCCGACATACTGAATCCAATTTATGAATTACCTTCGATGCTGATTAAACCCGTGCAGAGAATTTGTAAATACCCTTTACTTATGCATCAGCTCATCAAGGCTACCAACCCAAGCTGGCCACATGTCTTTCGTATGGAACAAGGACTGATCAGCATCAAGCGAGTGACCGAAAAAGTGAATGAGACCCAACGAAAGCTTGAAAACATCCAGATCGTGGACGAAATTAAAAATAGAGTGGATGAACTCCGACGAGGCGAAATCGGTACCTATGGTGCCTTATTGCTCCATGATAAGCTCTTCATGTCGCAGTCGGATGCTCCCGAAAAAGAATTGCTGGTCTACTTTTTCGAAAAGACAATCCTTATCTGCAAGGAGAGCAAAGACTCGACCAAGAATAAGCCTGTCAAATCCAATACGATTTCCATCAAAAAGAAAAGAAGAGGCAGCCTTCAACTCAAGGGTATGATCATGACAAGCCGTATCGTCAAGGTGCGTAACCACTCATCAAGTGGTAGTTGGTGCTTGACCATCGACTTTAAGGACCGTGAAGTGGATCATGTCCTCTTCCGATTCAGAAACGAAGAACAAATGAAGCTCTGGGAGTCGTCTCTTCAGCGACATATCACGCCTATGAAATCAAATGTATCCAACACACAACTCATGTCCATGAAAGGAACTAATCTGACAGAAGTACCTCCTTTCCTTCGTACAGATGATGACAGCAGTACAGATTACAGTGATCAAGAATGTGATTCACCAACTATGCCCAGGTCACAGAAAAAATACAGCATATCTCGTCATATTACTGACCAGCCACCTCGAACGAGTTCACATCACCACATGCAGCATCTTCATGATTACCCCGTATCGCCTCCACCTTCCCATCCTTCTTCGCCACGTGCTATGGACGAGTATCCACCTTATCTTATGAATCGTAGCCAATCCCAATCTGTCGTACCTGGACAGCCACTCCTTTACACCAGTCGGGTTCGATCTCAGAGTAGTCCAAACATTAAACAAAGACAACAACAACAACAACAACATTGGGATGAGCCTACACCACCTACGCCGCAGTTTATAAACTCCAAAACACTCTATAACATGACCCCTCCTTCGCCCTTAGATCAATCACTCAAATTGAAATTGAATTTTAACGATGGCATCTATGTTATCATGACTGGTCTGGATATCTCTTATTCAGAATTAGTGGACAAAGTGGATAGAAAGATACGTCTGATCGCTAATTTACAGCCTGCAGATGTATTAAGGCTTAAGTATCAAGATGAGGATGGTGATTTTATAACCATCAACTCAGATGAAGATGTTCAAATGGCTTTTGAAAATAGAGGCGCCACCAATACCATTAACTTATTCCTTAGTATCTAAAAATATGTATATAATATTATTGTATTTTTTTTTTTCCTTGTAAATAAATCTATGATCATATCCTTCTCTTCATCTTTAAACTTGTTCTGCCAAGAATATATATTTTGTAGTACCCTTCTTGTGTATGTGAATTGATCCCGCTTATCAATCAAGGGAAAATCATATTACTGAACTGCGGGCCAATGTTCGAATGATTAATTATTCTTTCTTTCGAGATTTACCCTTCTTTGATATCATCCTTTTCTGCTTCTTTTTTTTTTTTCTATTCTCACTTTTCTGTCTCTTTCCTCAATTTCTCTATAAATTAGCTTGATGGAAGCCCAAGGCACTGTTTGGTGTAACCTGCCACTGGAAATCTGGGATCACATTATGAGTTACATGAACACAGACGACCTAGCCAATTATTGCCTAGTCAGTAAGGCATGGTACTCCATCTGTGCACCCTACCTCTACCAGTCCATTATGATTGAAGATCCTGACGATCTTGCCGTGGTACTGTGTAACTCGCCTCGTGCGCCAGGTCGACATGTAAAGAAGATTATGTTGAACTATGACGGCATGAGTCTAGAAGAAACATATGACCAACTGCGGATATTGATAAATTATTGTCCAAATGTTGAAGTTTTCACTTCGGACGAAATCTTGACGTTCTTGTGGTGGAATAGCTTTTTGAAGGTTCTACAGGATGGACACGTGTGGCGGAAGATACAGAAGATACCAGAAACGATACGCGAGAGCGACAATATGGACTTGTACTACCAGTGCTCTCGCCATCTGCGGCAGAGCTTGCAAACCATACAGTTGCTCGGTCCTCGATTCGGGCCTGTGCGGGATACAGATGTGTGCTGGCTTGATGGCTTCCCCTGTCTGAATTCATTAGAGGTGTATCCACGAATAGGATTTGCTACCGCACGAGACTTTGAACTGCTATTAAAGTATACACAGCATCTACGCCAGCTCACTGTTGACTGGCACGACTTTGGACTCTCTCAGGCTGAGCTTGAGTGGTTGGAAGCAACACAAGCTCGACAGATGCCAAGGATCGATATTTATCCCTCCATGGAGTGTCTGAGGGTCACTGGCTGTTTCTCTTTTGATTCAGTTTACATGCCGCAACTTTGCTACTTTTTTCAAAAGTTTCCTAGACTCAAGATTGCTCAACTCACGATCCATAGCGCCAATATGTTTGACAATATCTTTACTCAGTACATATCGCGTATCCCCCATGTGGTGATCAAGGTCCGCTATGCCACAATTCTCTTGCAAGTCTTAAGCGCCCTTGTCGGGCTCGAGTATCAAAAAGTGCTTGAGCTTGAGTATGCGCCCGAATTTCACTACCTTCGTCAGATGGTGGTACGTCTGAAGATGTCCAAGAATGAAGTGAATTGTAGTATCATAGGAGAACTCGAGGATGATTTCTTATCTTCTGTTTCTATCGATATTTTACAAACCATAGGCTTTCGTATTCACCATCTTACAATAGAGCATCCTTTTCGAATATGGCAGGGGCTCAATCTAGGTATTTATGGAGATCTATGCCCTCGTCTACAGACTCTGAAAGTATCCTATGTTGAAATCGAACAGTTTGCGCTGGATGTCCTCGAGGAACACAGGGAACTGAAGCATATCAAGCTCATTGATTCAGCCATTAACAATGACGCTGTCTTTTCGGCACTGTCGACCTTAGTACCTAATTTGGAGACACTCGTCCTGGAGGACTGTACGTTTTTTAGAGAATGCACATTTCCGTTTACTCTCGTGATGGACATGCCTCATACACGCTTCAATCATCATTTGCATATCGATTTGACCAATGTGGATTTTGAAAAGGTTCTATTGCGCTTGTCTATCGGTAATAAGAGATCAAACTATTATCTCTGTCAAGACAGTGGGACTATGCAGGTACCAAACTTTGTCGTCCAGGAATTGTATGCAAACTATCATCCCTATGTCGCGACTCTGTTCATTCGCTGTCAATATATACGCAGGCTTGAACTTACCTTACCCGATGAAGAAAAAAACATTGTGTGCTATTTTTAATATTTACTAAACTGTAAAATCAGCTTTAATAAACGATATCTTAATATCTTTATCTTGCGTGCATATACAAAAGGGGAATTCATTCTAGGCTCACTTGTTTCCATACTAGGTTCGCATAAAAAAAAAAGGTTTAGAACCTCCAAAGAGAAACAATGGTACATCAGTGCTCCCTTTTGGTTGATTTCTTTGCTGAGAAAGTCACAAAGTGTCTGGACCAAAAAAAAAAGATAAACTTTCCCTTTCTTTCTTGAAAAATAAAAATAGGTTCATCGTTATGCCAATTCGACATTTTGATAGTAACAATGAGAATAAACTGGTTTTCCCTCTATTGAAATACTGATATTTGGCCTTTTTTTCTTTAGTTTTCACGGCTGAGAGACGACTGATACAAACATCTGCAGTATCACAGTTAAAAGACACAAGAATAGGCATTGAAGGCAATGATTGGCTTAGAAAGATTGTTCCCAAAGAGCCAACTGTAACTGCCATGGGTGGTTTACCTCTTCGACTAAGAGAATCAATAGAGAAAGAATTAAAACAATTCAAGTAAATGATGCTCTTTAGCTTATTCTTTATAATTTTAATTACGCGTTTCTTTTTTTCAATAGGTCTCATGGCATCACTCCTATATTCGTATTTCCTGGTCTATCTATTCTTCGCAAAGATAAACCATTCTCTAAAGAAGATACACGTCCAAGTCATCGAGCAGCAGGCTGGGAATTTTATGAAAAAGGAAAAACAGATTTAGCCATGAGCAACTGGGCAAGTAGTGGAGGCATTCATCCTGCTGACCTGTTGAATTGTGTATTTCACATCTTGCACGAAAATGATGTTGAATTCGTTCGCGCTCCTTACTCAGCATGGGCTCAGGTTTGTGCTCACTGATAGTATATGTCTTTTTTGATTTGTTTTACTCATTTTATTGATTAGCTTGCCTACATGTATACACACCCTAAGCAGCTTGTTAACGCTGTCTATGGAGGCTCTGAGCTTCTGATGTGGGATATTGATAAAATGATTACAAGCATTGATTTTGAGGTAAAAGATGGAAATTAAAGCCAACAGAAAAAAGTTAATCAAAGTGTAGAAAGGAAATTATCATTGGATTAATAAAAAGACAGTACTTCAAGACCTGCACGTATCAGACGAACAGTTTCTCGATATTTGTATATTAGCAGGCTTCGAGTACTGTCCTAGCTTTCCACCACTCAATACATCTGTAGTCAGTTTTACATTCAAAGGTATGATTCAAGTGTTCAAAACGAGGTTTAACCGTGTATTTGTCTAGGCGTACATGACTTGATTAAGCAGCATAAAACTGGATTCAATGCAGTTCAAGCTTATTCTGATAATCCTATTATTGCCAAAACACACTATGTTGATATCTTCTGCCGTACACGTTGTGCAGTTAAATACCATCTCATCATAACGGACGAAGGCGAGATTAAACCACTAAACGTCGAACATGCACCTAACGATATACACGAATTCATTGGGTATCGTTTACCAGATGAGCTTTACTACTACTTAATGCGTGGTCTTATTGGACCACAGGTAAGAAAAGGAGATCAAGGTCAAGAGGGATAGGAACTTATGTCTGTTTAGTCTGTTAACAGCCTAGTGTCTGGTGTATTGATTGAAAATGCGCCTTTGGACAATGGTGAATCAACAGAATACCACAACTTCCTTCATCAACTTCTTAATATTCGCACACAAACACTCAGCTTACTTACTCAACCCCTTCATCAATTTTACAAGACACGAAAGGTAGCCACTCATTTTTGGTTTGAGCCTACGGTTGAACAAATCATGCATCATCAACCTAACGATAGTCATGGATCAGCACATGTTGATGCCACGCCACTCAATACAGTATATGAGAAAACGAATTCATGGAATGTGACAAGGGATTTTATTGATGCAGAATTCAGATCACAGAAAGTATGTGTGTATATTTCAGACGATATAGCCTTTGTTTCTTATCATCCTTTAGGTAAATACTGTGACCCTCAAGTTTTGTATCAGTGCACTTGAAAATGCATCTGTTGCTACCAAGACGATTACCAAACCACACCCTGATCAGGTGAAATCTTAAAATTCATAAAGAAAACAAGTAATAATCCTTTAGTTTAGCCACTTGAAGATAAAAATGAAATTGTTGCAAATGTGTTATGGAAGACATTAGAAATAAGAGAGTAAGTGTGTTATTATTTCGTAACATGGTCTAACCTCGGTTGATTGGAAATAGCTTTGTTACCTCTTCAAAGCATGTGCATACTCCATGGGGAAAGGCATTGCATGTATCACTCAAAGGAGATGATGTGTCCAGACCAATGCAAGAGGCTTTATTGACAGCACTCGAATTGATTCGATTTGAAGTATTGACCAACAAAACATTCAGTAAAACATATACTCGACCTCTTGGAAACGGTAAGAAGAAGACAATAAATGTACGCATTTATTTACGCATGTCATGATAGAACTTGAGCAAAAGAACATCATTCTGCTTTCTCGTGCATTATCTTTACTGCCGATCAAACTAAAGGTAAACGGGACCCTTTTAGTGCATATTTGTTTATACTTTTGTTTTTATAGAATATGCAATGGTTGGGGCCCTTGAACCGTGATCTACTTGTGTTTAATAGCTTTGTTAAAGCATTGAATAGAAGTTATCGAAATTTATGCGAGATGCTCACGTTATCCTTCTTTTTGAATGGACTCGTCGTCAAGGATAGAGAAGATTACTTTGAAATTAACGACAGGTAATGATCCACCACTGTATTTAGGGTACTTATTAAACCTCTCCTATTTAGCCTTCCTTATATGGCCGATGTCAATGTCGCTTTAGGCCTTGTCTGTAAGCACTATTTGGAACGCATTATCGAAGGTCAATCAGCCATTGAAGCTTTAGCTTCCACTGAAAAAGCATTCCCTACCTGTGTCTCTGTTAAAGAAGATCTCGAAACAGGTTTCCAATTTTGGACGAGATTGTTGGAAGCTGTTGTGGTACTTTTCAAGACCAATACGATCTCTGCGGATACATTCAATATGTTTTCCAATGCAAATGAATGGCTCCAGAACAGAAAATTTTAAAAAAAGAATAAACTCTTGAGAATTGCCAGATGTATGAGTGTAATCTGATGCATAGCATTAGATTAATTAAAACTTGAACTGCATGTGCTGCGCTTTATAATTGATTAAATCATATATATAAAAGGCGTTCTGTCTTCTTTCCTTTTCACTTTATTTATATAATATGAAAGGATTACAACTCAAGCATTCATTTCTGAATAAAAGAAAACAAAGACCAGAGGACTCGCTTACAAGATGCAAACAGTTCAGGAGTATGGTCCATTTGCCTTCTAATACATCGCTCGTATCTTACTCTACCACAAGCACGATGAATAGCAATAACATAAATACAGGTCAATCCATAGATGATCAAAGCTATTCCAATTTTTATCTGAAGCTTCCCAATGGTAACTGGATGGTTTATTATCGTACAAGAGATCAAAAGATGATAAACTCTTTTGAATTAAAAGGCGAGTTGATTTAATCCCTCGCAAAAGAAAAGGGGTACCTTTTTGTGAATTTAGGAAGTTGATTGTCTTTGACGTTGCCTTTATAATAGTTTAAGAAGATATTTATTATGATTTGTATAAAAGAAGGGACTTTATTAAAATTATAATTTGTCACAACACGATAGGGTTATCCTCGTACCACTAAGGGTCATCAGCTCTTTCCACACAACTCTTTGTTTCTTAATGCCATTGTTTTACGTTTGGGAGACCCATCTGTAATGATGCTGACGTCTCCTCACCAAAGGTGACACAGTTACTTGATTTTCAATAAACATCGTCTTTCTTCCGGCTTTTACAAACTATGAGTTAATAAAGAATTACTCAGAAATTTGGATAGGAATTGAACAGCACGTTTATAATATTCATTGCCTATAAACCGTTGTTATTTGTAAGTGATTCCGTGCCAACTTTTACAAATCTACATTATCTTCAAAACACCCCACGACACTCTTCCAAACAACGTCTCCATATGCACCACCGCTTGAATCTGCCGTATTCCCTAACGGATTCTCTCTCTCTTTCTCTTCTTTCTCCTAAATAAAGTATTCACTCGTCAGGTGCGAACCTCACACAGCCTGTCTCAACACTGTTATCTTTTGTGTCTCAAGTGGTTTTTAGACACCACCTTTCTTTGTTGATCTGACCTGGGGTAAATTTAATGTCCTATTACACATCATGTAACCACAGTGGACCAAGGTTTACAGTGATCAACCCATAAAAAAAAGATCAGACATACAAAGGCATCCCCTTTTTCTTTAATTTAAAATGATAATTTTATTCAATCAAATAAACAATTTTAAAACTTTCCTTTTTTTTTGCTTTTGTTGTCTCAACCTATTTTCATCACACACTCGCTAAAAAAATTTTCCAGAGAGTAAAAAAAAAGACGGTTATTCAAAACCCAGTAAAGTGATTAAAAAAACCAGTCCCCTGTGAGGGAAGCTTTGTATCCTCCCCCTTCATCTCCTTGGCTAATGCGGCCAGTTCGCATGCTTCATTCATTTATACCAAGTTTCTTTCATAGTTACAGCTCAGCTTCACTTAGTCTAAAATACAAAAGCCAGTACACATGTCTTGGATGTAGAAGGATTCAATTTCCATTTATTACAAATCGACTTTATTCAACAGAGCCAAGCTTACCAAAGAAAAAGATCTTTCGACCCATTGAACCAAGTATATCCATTTGTAAATTATCACAGCAAGGCCGATCTGATGAAGCACTATCAGCTTATCTAAAACTTGTTGATCAAGGCGTGTTTCCAAGCAATGAAGCGCTTCATCAATTAGCGCGATCACTCTATGTCACAAATAACCTGGCTGGTATGCGTACCTTTTATGATACCCTCATGAATTTTTACAAAGTTCACGAACCGACAAATAAATCAAGACGATCACTATCCTATATCTATGTCATGTTCATCAACATGGTTGCTCGTACAACAAAGAGTATGCAAACAATAGAGCAACTGTGTCAAGACATGTCGTGTCATGTCAAACGAGGAAATATAGCACTGTACAACACACTGTTAAAGATCTTTCTAAATAACAATGATGTACGCAAAGCAGACAGGCTGTATAGGCAAATAAAAAGGCACAGCACGCCGACAGCGATGACCTATGGCATATTAATGGATTATGCATCCAAGCGGAGAGACCTACGATCCATGATAAAGTACCTGGATGACATGGCGGCTTATTCAATACCTGTAGATTATGCGATCATAGAAATAACAGTCTCTACTTTATGTCGTGTGAAAGCGTTTGATTTAGCAGAAGAGATGGTTAAAGAGTTACATAGAGGATGCGAAAAGCTTGTACCTCCTCGGTTTCAGCAACATTTGCTTTGTAAAATAGATATACGTAAAAAACGACATTATAGAAGGAAACAAAGACGTGTAAATAAAAAGAAAGGTTTGAAATAATTAAAACCTTCTTATATACTTTTTTTTTTCAATCAGCAACTACACTTGGCTTATTGTTTCTCAACTTGACAACATTGTGTGTGTGTGGATGTGCCTGAATCTGAAACAGTGTGCGCCACATAAAATAACGATAGACTATAATCAGGCATATAACGTATAAATATCAAAACATTTCATGTTTTCACTTTTTAACTTTATAAAAAGAGAGAGAGAGATGGAGTCAAAGGTCTATGAGATGATCCTATTACTTTTCTTTTCATGGGCTTCTTTCAAAGCTCTGTGTGTGGCTTATATTTTCGTCCAATGAAATTTATTGTGACGCTTTTATTTTTGAATTTTTCTTTCTCAGCGAAAAGGATAAAGGTGAAAAAAAAAATTTGATTTTATTTTATTTCCTCCTCTTCTACTTCATATTAAACATGGAACACCAAGTAAGTGACAACATCCCTTATACCAAACGAGAACAGATGTTTAACCCAATTCGAATAGACTGAAAAGGCTTTCCAAAAGCAACCCGGTATCTTCCAAAACTCCAAGGACCTCAAGAAGCGTAACCGCCGCTGGTTCAAGGAAGTTGGTAACGGTTTCAAGACCCCCAAGGAAGCCAAGAATGGTACCTACATTGATAAGAAGTGTCCCTTCGTTGGTGAAGTCAACATCCAAGGTCGTATCCTTACCGGTGTTGTCGCCTCCACCAAGATGAAGCGTACTATCATTGTTCGTCGTGATTACCTTCACTACGTTCCCAAGTACAACCGTTACGAAAAGCGCCACACCAACATTCCCGCTCACATCTCTCCCGCTTTCGATAACCAAGCTGTCCAAGTGTAAGTATAAGTTTTTTTTTATTGCACGCTATGTTACCCCTTCCTATTTTATTGATGAGCAATAATATACTTGCAATGATTCGTACATACGGATGAGGTAGTTGGTGAGGTAGCGGCTCCCCAAGCCTTTGATATCCAATTTGATCGCTAATTTTTTTTTTGATATATATAGTGGTGATATGGTCACCATTGGTCAATGCCGTCCTCTCTCCAAGACTGTTCGTTTCAACGTTTTGAAGATCACCAAGGCCAAGGGTGCTTCCAAGGCTTTCAGCAAGTTCTAAATTTAAAAAAAGTTTTTTGTGAATAAAAAGAACTAGCTTTATATATAAAAAAAGATGTCTTTTGTTTACCGCCTTTTAAGGAGATGTGATTGTAAGGTTAGTTTCCTGCAATGGACTTTTATCAGATGTGTCCTCTTTTTTTAATATTCAGACCCTTTTTATTATTTTCAATCTACTTTTCTCTCTTTCTTATATATTTGACACTAGAACTCCTTTTTTTTATTTACATTTCTAAATTAGAGAGAAACTCCTATTTTATTTCGCTTGGTCCTTTTTTACTTGTGATTATATCCTCTTTTCTTTCCTTTTCTCTTTTTTTCTTTATATATATTTAATATGAACGCACCACTTGCTGATACCATGCTGGCATGGTCACAGAATGAACTTGACATATACTCCACCTTATCACTTATACCTGTCCTATCTGACCTGAATTGGATAGATGATAAAGTCATAGTCTGTTTCGCTCACCGTTACTTTTCCGAAAGTGTACCTGATCTCATTCAGCAGTTAAACCAGCCGAACCGTGTAAAACTAGTCGAACTATTCAAAGAACGTGTCGGCCTTGACCTCGAAACAGACACGACCACTTGGCTTCACCAACTTTTCAAGTGGGCAAGGACCCAACAAGACGTTTACAGAGAACAAGAAGGCTATATGGAGTTTGAAAAGAAAGCCAATCAATTACTCTCTCAACTATTACAGTTGTATCATCCACTCGTTGACTTTTTGAATAAGGAAGAGCAAAGTGTAACATCATCCAGGACCATCACCACTGAAAGAAAAGGTAACCAGAAAAAAAACAACAACAAACGATTAACTAACTTCCCCACTTCGTAGGCTCTTTTTCATCTTTATTAGAAGAACAATCCATTATCAACAAGCATCCTTCATCATTCGAAGACTTTGAATCTGCCTATCAAACGATCAAGTCTCGAGACCTTGTAGATTTCCATGCATGCATACCTCATTATTTACGCTCACATCCTAATCTATCAGCCATAAACGCAACACAGGCCGCACTTGAATACCAGCTGCATAAGAGAGAGCTTTTACGACACACGACACAATTTCAAACGACAGCTGCATATATCCGTAATGAACTTGAATTCATTCAAGCCAAGATGCTCAAGACAACCACCACAGACACAGGCATACAAGACTTGGAAGAAAGGGCTCAAAAGGCTGGCGCTTTATTAGATTCTTTACCAAAACTCGAGGACCAGCAGGAACAGTGTGAGACATTAGTAAGCAAGTACAAATTAATTTGCGCATGGGTAGAGGAAGTTCGCGTGTGGTTTGTGGAAGCGGAAAGGATCCGGAAATGGATTGAAGAACGTATCGTGTTGTTGGAAGGTAGACCACCTGTGGAAGCACTGGATGAAGTCGAATTGGATTATACATTAAAACAAGTGGAACAGTTGAATCAGGAGCATGAAGCTCTGGAAAAACAAGTGGAAACATTCGACAAGCAGGACATGGCTCGTCTAAGAGCCCACGTGAAAGCGTTGACGGGAACTGATAAAGATCTCAGTCCGGCAGACACAACTACCATCGAAATCACATTCACAACCCTCATGATCTTGGATCGATTGATGCATCTTCTTCGACGGCGTTCATATGAACTCCAGATGCTCACCTTACGCGTCTATTGGGAACAGGAATATAATGTAGCTGTTGGCTGGGTTCGGTCCATGACAGAGCAGGTCAAGACATTTATGGGAAAAGAGGCACGCTGGAGACCTACACTGTCCCACACGAATGAGTTCAAGAACGAGGTGATTGAAAAATTGATCGGTTTTGAAAAACAGTGTACAGCATTTGATCAAGGGCAGTTCACAACGACGGTCAACATGTATCAAGATTTGGATGATTCGTGTCATATGGAACTGCCCAGTCATCTCGAGTCAAGACAGGTCGCTTTGGAGGAAGCGTTTGAGGCGCTCACGAATCGTGTCGCTTTTGCTCGTCAGGTTGTTGAGCAGTACTTGATGGTAACTGATTTTTTGGATCATGCGGATGAGCTCAAAATGGAGGGTGAACAGCTGCGTCAAGAGATTACCCACGCTGAACAGCAACTATTGTCAAGTCCAGATCTAAGCGAGAAGGTCAATCAGTTTCAAGAGAAGGCTGTTCGTTTAGTCACTGGATTAGCCACCAGAATACCTTATCCAGACACTACGCATCCAAGTGATCAACAAGATAATGAAGATGCTAATGAAACCATCCGCATGGTTGTGGGGGCTCGAAAATCAGCGTTGATCTTACTTGGCGAGGCTCTCGATCAGGCATTGAGCTCACATAGACGTGCGCTTCAGCTTCAGAAACGGGCCAAGCAACTACAGGACGAAATTAATCGTCTCACAGGCTGGGTAGATGAACGTTTACGGGCATTGGCTAAGGCGAAAGTAGATGTGTTCGTTGGTAAATGTGCCCTGGACGAAGTCGATTTAGCGCGTTTACGTAAAGAACGCGATGGTCAGGTATCCAAGCTGAAAGGAATTAAAGAGAATGATGTGAAAAAGTTGCATGAGAGTATACACGCACTGCATGCTTCACCACACCATCGGTCCTATATGGATACACTCAACGAGAGTTTGAAAAAACTTGAACAGCAGCTGAGTAAACTGGACGAGGCTCTTTCAGCTCGCAGTTTAGGCTTAGATACTCTTGCCAAGCGTATCTCTTGGGAAAGCCAGTACAGCAAGGCATCTCAGTGGATCTCAAGTATGACAACAAATATATGGGACTTTACAGCAAAGAAAGCGCAATGGCGTCCTAAAGATAATCCCATGTCAGACTGGAGCCAGGTTGAGCAAGAGTTTAAAGACATTCAGGCCAAGGTGGATACCTTTGAATCTCGACAATTTGATCAGCTTCAACATGAATTTCATGTTCTTATCGAAGGCTTCAGCAGGATAAAGCAAGATGATACACCTGTAGCTGACGATAACAACCTGACAGCGGAGCATGTCAAGCGTCGACAGGATGCTTTAACCGCAAACTTTGCTCATCTTAAAGAACTCTGTCTATACACCCAAGGTATTCTAGATCAACATATCGCTCTAGAAAAGTTCTCGGCACGTGCATCTGAGCTATATGGACAAGGCGAAAAACTGATGATCGACTTACAGCAACGCCTTGACGATCCATTGTACAGTCAGGAAGACGATGTGGAACTGGAGGAGGCTGTAAACGAATACAGCCATCAGGCGCTTGATATCTGGACTAGTCTAGGCTCGCAAATCCCTTACCCTCAATGCAACGAAGAGGCACGGGCGACACGACCATCAACAGCAGACGATGAAATTAGTACAGACATTGCTAACGTCGTGTTCAAGACGTATACGGACCTACAAGGCATGGCTGACCAATTGAAAGAGCTGTTGTCCCAGTTAAGAGCTGCCGTTCAGCATCGAAAAGAACTGGAAGACTGTGTGCAGAAAGCGACAATGCTAACCAAAACTATGGCACAGATCAAGCAACAGCACATGAGTATGTATACATTTGAAGACCAGCTTTATGCTACCACGATGCATATATCCGGTACGAAACTTGATGCTAATGCACTGTCAGAAAAAGTTTCAGCCTTGAACGACAAAGAGTATCAGCCCCTCATCGAGCGTATCCAGATACTTCAGGACTTGGAGGCTCCAATCGATAAACATCGACTCATGGCACCTACTAGCTTACTGCAGTCAGCTTATAAACAGCTCCAAGAATTCTCTGTCCTATTTACTCACCAAGTTAAATGCTATGACACTCGCCTTCATTGGGAATCGTTGCTGGCAAATCACGTACACAAATTAGAGACTTTGCAAGAATCTGTTCGTGACACCATCAACGAAAAGAACTTTTGGTTATCTCGTGAGGATGACACGAATCATAAGGACAACCTGCTTGAAAAACTTGTCGAAGAATTGACGCAACACGACAAGATCTTGAAGGAGTATGCTAATCAAGATCTACCATCTCTAGAGATCGCTCATCTCAATATGACATCGGCGTTTGACGCGCTAGATAGCAGTAAACCGGTGCCTGTGCTTGATAAGCAATCTGATATAAAGAAATCGGTACACAAGCTACAGAACTTACTTACCCAACAAGTGTCCGAAATCAACCTTTTACACGCACGCCATCGTTGGGAATCGCATGCTGACAAAGAACTAAGGGCATGTAGTGAGTTTGAAGTAGAGATAGAGTCTTTTATTAAAGATTATGCCCGTTGGAAATCAGAGCAAGTTGATGAAAAAGAGAGCAGCAAGCGTCTAGACGAGCTTCAGTCCACATTTGCTCTACACGTAAAAACAATCCAGCACCTGCTGGATGAATTTACTGGGTTGAAGCACTTGACAGAAGCTACAAACAAACGTAAATCATCACTTGAGAGCAATAAGGGCCGTATGCAGGGTCTTCAGGGATTCATGCACGAAGTTCTTCGTCAGACAGAAATGATACGTGCTTGCCTCGCTCGTATCCAAGAATTCGAAAACAGAGCAGAATCACTCAAAGCTCAATTCCTGGCTGCTGATGGCATTCAAGAAGGATTCGAAGCAGCGTTCGAAACGTACAAGTCTGATGTGCACCAGTTGAACAAGACGATTCCCCATCCACTGCCTCGTAACGATAAGGATGACGTAGATTACAACACATCCGTTTCCGATATGATTCAAGCACGGTACGTAAGACTAGAGGAACTTGCTAGCTTGCTTCAATCTATTCTCGAAAGCAAAGAAAAGCTCTCTCGTCGTCGCGCTGCTGAAGCTAGTTACTTAGCCGAAGCAACAACAGTCAAGGAATGGATCCAGTCCAAGTGGATGGCTATTGATCAAGTGGCAGAGAATGTAGATGAAGACCTACAAGGTTCTGTCAGTGCAGTGGCAGCTATTCAGTCGACTGTTCTAGCCTACTCCAGTTCCATCTTAGCCCTTCAGGCATCTCTAGTCAAGTATATGGCCCTGATGGAAGAGGACGACGATACGCTGCAGACAATGCAAGCGGATATGGATGCGCAGTACCGAAAATTATGTGAGCACGTGCAGACAGTCAAAGACGATCTTTCAGAACAGCTTCGCCGTGCTGAGTGGACTCGGTTGGTAAGCGCATTCAATACTGTCTGTGCTGAGTTGACGCAAGAAATGACAACTTTACAAGTTGAAGATATTACAGAATCTGTTACATTAGACTGGCAGGAACGTGTCAAGGCTTTGGAAATGAAACAACTCGAACCTATCAAGGCCCGCGCTTTAAATGATGATGACATGAATCAGGTATTAAAGACACTGAATGACCTTAAGGGGTTCATGCAGTGCCGTATACATGAAGCCAATAATTATCGATGGAAGCAAAAGTATCTTGCTGACGCTCACGATCTTGAATCATGGTTGAAAGAGACAAAGGAAGCAGTAACTGAGTTCCGAAAAAACCAAGGCTCTGTACAAGAAAAGGCTGATCCCATCAAGGAAATCAAAGAAGTCTATAACAAGATATGCGAATCTATTGAAGGCCGAAAGGACAAGTATGAGGAACTTCGTTCATTCCACAAGTTCCTTCAGTTGAACAGTTTGACCGAAATGGATGAACGGCAACAGAGCTTAGAAAATGAATGGAAACAACTCCAAGGAGATGTAGTGCAAGCCAACCAATTAGTTGAACAAGTTGGCCAGTGGGTTGTATTGTTTGATAAACTTGATGCTGCAAAAGCGACATTAAAGGCAACTGTACAGACATTGGAAGCATTTGATGAAAGTACAGTGTTGGAAGAGCTACCTGAGCTATTTGACCATGAAGAAAAGCAACTTTCTGATCTTCTCAGCAATCTTGATACATTACTATCTGCTGCACAAAACCTACATTGTCAGGCACCAGATGAGGCTCGCCAAACCAGAAGCAACATGAACGCTTTCGAGGAACAACAACGCAAACTTTGTCAAGAAGTAACCGAATCTCAGCGTTTGTTAACTGACAAGTTGAAACTAGCTCAAAGACAAGTCAGTCTGAATACATGCCAAACTATAACATCTGCTGTTAGCCAAAATGTTCATAAACAAATCGAGTTGTGGGAAAAAGACCTTGAAGCGATTAGACACGTAATCGATACTACAAACAAACTCGAGCAGGTTTATCTTGACAAACGAGGATCTACCTTGGAAACGAAACGAGCAGAATATAGTAATCAAGAAGCACAAATCATTCGACCCGCTCTGCTTCAGTTAAAGAATGATCATTCAGTAGACATAAAACCTATGGAAGACGAACTTGCAGCTGCGTTTGATAAACTTGATATGGCTATCAAAGCAGAAACAGGTGTTCAAGAAATGATTCGTAAACTCCTTGGACAAATCAAGAGTTCAAAAGACATTTCTACTTGGGTAACTCAGTGCCACCAAGCCATTGAACAGACAGACCCACATGATGAAAATGCTGAAGAGAGTATGAAGGCGCTAGATGAAAAAATGGCCGATTTCAAGCCTGTAATGACATCATTTGAGAAAATGGTGGAAAGTATCAACGACATGCCTATACCTGAAATTCGTGTGCAAGGTGTATGGACTGACTTGGTGGCAGCAGCCAACGAAAATGCCAAGGTCGTCAAAGAGGAATGGGATACACTGGAGCAGGCAAGAAATGAGATGGCAGATGATATTCAAAGAACAATGCGTGGTATCGCTATGCTTCGAAAAATCAAACATGTTATTATGCTATTAGCAGAAACAAGAGAATACCTTGACAATATCAAAGTACCTCAGTTGGACGAAGATACTGTACCAAACTCAGACATCAAAATCGTTGTGGAGTCGGAAGAGCGCAATGGAGCAGATAAATTATCTCGTATGCTTCGACAAGCTGAAGTAGAGGGTTACTTGAAGGGCCTATCCACAATTGAAAAAGACACTAAAGATCAAATAGAGCAAGAGATAGTAGAGCTTGAAAAGATGACATCTCAATGCCAGGAAGGTGATTCCTTCAAACACCAATACCAAGAGACCAAAGATGCCGTTGCTCGATTGACAGACAGCATTGAAGAAAAGAAAGCAGAACTCCACAAGGCGCTTGAACTTGGTCAGCTGCTGACAACCACTGACGACCTTGAAATCCTGTTGAGCTCTCTAGAAGAAGCGATCGGTAAAGCAGTTCCTCATCATGTAACGCTGATGGGCCACGGCCTTGGACGTGCAGACTTGCAAGCCAAACTAATTGAACTTGATGCCCGCTTCAAGTATTATGAAAGCAACATTGTGAAATCATTCAAATTGGCTAAAGAACACCCAATATCTACACAAGAAACAAAAGATGTTGTTGAAAGCTATTTGAGTGATCTCGAAAAGCGCTGGAACCTGTTAAAAAAGCAATACAAGACTCGCAAAATCGAGCTCAGTCGAACAATCGATAGCAAAGAACTGTACCAACAGCAGCAGCAAGCACGTATCCGCAAGTCATCATTACCTACGCGTAAGGCTTCATCTTTACTACGTGCTGCTGACCGATTGTCACCTACACCCAGCACCTCGTCCTCATCATCATCTGGTTCTTTGCGACTATCCGTCATTGGCCGTCACCAGCCTTCAAAATCAGCTACACATGTTAAGCCACGGCCTTCAACGCGCCATGCCAAACCGCCACTGAACTCATATGTTGCAGACCCTGAAAATGATCTTGATATGGAAATTGGACGCATTGTAAACAATGCGCCCTACCGAGTGAAGGTCAAGATGGTTCCTGGTGAAGTCGGCCGATACTGGTTTGGTGACGTGAACCCAAAGATGGCCTACTGTCGTGTGCTCAAGAGCAAGATGGTCATGGTTCGTGTCGGCGGAGGCTGGACAGAGCTATCTCAGTTCCTACGTGATCACGCCTTACTAGAAGGTGATTTTATACCCAAGTCCAGTACTCCCGAAGTGATACTTGAAGAAGAGCCCTCGATTCAAGAAGGCTTTATTGAGACAAGGCGAGCAAAGCCTGTGCCTCGAAGCATGTCCCCCTCTCAGCGTCCGACAGGAACGCCCAGTCATTCGACAAACACGTCTGGTGGATACAAGGATGGCGATAAGTTTATTACAGTCGATCAACATGGCAATCAATTGGAAGTGAAAATGAGGCGGTTTTCAAATGATGTTATGGAAAAAAGTAGTAACGGATATACGCGAAGACGTATAGCAAGAAAGAAGGAAAAGCTTAATAATCAAGCTGCTGCAAATGCCTCTACAGGAGTAGCTGGAGATAACCACAACAAAAGCGATAACAGTAGTAATAACAACAGTACCAGCACTGTCAAAAGTCAAACTAATACCACCAACAGTAGTAGTACTAATCATAATGCATTGTAATAAATTGTCCGTGTTTTTTATTTAAAGTTATCCTTCATCTTTCGAAGTTTTCCGAGCAATTCGATGGTAGATGAACATGAAGGGTCAATAAGATGGCCGATGGACTCAACACGCAGGAAAGGATTTGTCAGTTTTTCATTACTCAATGTTGAAGGAGTCGTGCATTTGTTTTCTTGAGCCCATTTGATCTTATCTTTAATGTCTTGATTATCGGGTTCAACATGGGCTGCAAACTTTAGGTTGGCAAGTGTGTATTCGTGACCAAAATAGACGTGAGTGTCCGCAGGTAATTTCAAGAGCTCACTGAACGCGTTCCACATGTCTGAGGGTGAGCCTTCAAAGAACCGACCACATCCTGAGGAAAATAAGCTATCATGATATTTGAGATATAGTCTTTTTGAGCCAAATTTTGATTATTACCAGTCTCCTGTGAATACAGCATGGTCATTATCCTCTTGGGCAAAGTAGCAAATATGGTCCATGGTATGTCCTGCAGTAGCCAAAGCACGGATTTGGATATTGCCGAGTTGAATCGTTTCGTTGGCTTTGACAACATGTGTCACGCCCTTGACTTGATCTGAGCCTCCATAACAGGGGACATTTAGCTTGGATAAAAATTTGGTGTTGCCACCCGCATGGTCCCAATGGTGATGTGTTGTAAGGATCCTGTGAAAGGAGTATGAGTTTGAAAAGCAAAGTATGATATAACCCTTATTTACATGGATAATTGGTAATCCGGATAAGTGGATTCAAGTGCTTTGAACACGTTATCTGGTTCAACAGGATCAATGGCAGCAGCTTTTTGATCGTGTTACTATTATTTATGAATGAAGCTTCATAGTACATACCTTTTTTTGACGTTTGGTCTAATAAAAGATATGCATAACTATTGAAAATATGAATAAAAAGACATAATAAGTACAATATAATCTTACTTGTCTTGAAGGCAAGGAACTGGTTTAACAATCATCTTTTTCAAGGTTGAACGAGCCAAAGAAGAAAGCATAAATAAGAAAAGAAAAGAAAGGAAAAAAAAAAAAAAAAAGAAAAAAAAAAAAAAAAAGAAAAAAAGAAAAAAAAATCATTGCATAAGCAACACTTTCTGACAATCAAAAGGAAAAATAAAAATCCCTTGCGTGGGGCGTGCTTTGCATTTGCTTAAAGAAGCTCAAAAGACAGAAAAGAGAGATGACGCGTTTATTTTAAATACGCCACTGTTATATTTTTATACTTTTTTTTTCCTTACATGTCAACTTCATTCTGGGATGCACCTCTTTTATCACCTTTACTTGTGCACATGTCCAACTCATTAAAAAGATCTCGTTCGACTGAATCATTAGAAACAGCCTTTAAACGATCTAAGCCTTTTGAGCCTGAATCAACGTAACAAAGTTGGAAAAAGAGTATATATGTATAAAGTATTAACTGGAAGTAACATCCAAGATAGGGAAACCAATAGAGAAATATACCCAGTTATCAAAAAGATCACTATATCCACCAAGACACCCCCTTCTAGTTATGAAAATGTCAATCGAGTCTTACACTCTATTCATGTTGAAAGATTTGGTAATCCAGAAGAAAGGGAACGTTGGTGGGAGCAAGAAGGCAAGGATATAGAAATGGAAGAAGTGAATGATTATTATACAACAAACAACTCGATCCTAAGACAAGCATTTTTAGAAAGAAGACATCAAGACGCATAATTTTCTTAATTTGGACAAAAACCTATTACATATTGTGTGTGTTTAAAAGACTGCATTTGCCTATAAAAAGTCCCCTTGTTTTATTATTATTATTTTTTCTTTTTTTTAAATTATCCTTCATTATGTCAAAGATACTCAACTATTCAAGCTTCGATACGATTCAAGATTCAGTTGATCATGTCAGACAGATCTTCTTTACTGGTAAAAAAAACAATATCATACTTTGCCAATAAACTTCTTTATCCATTATATATAAAGGCAAATCTAGAGAAATGTGGTTTCGAAAGATGCAACTTGAAAGGCTTTATTCATTAGTCAAAGAAAATGAAGAAAGATTTTATAAAGCTTTGAAACAGGATTTGAATAAACCTAGACTCGAAGCATTCACGGGGGATATTGCACCCGTCCTGGATGAATGTCTTTATTTTCTTGAAGTAAACTTGTTGAATTGACTTCATTAGTGTTATCTAACGATGAATGTCTATAGAATTTGGATACGTTAGTGAAGGATAAAACAATGAAGCCCAGGAGCTTAATAAATAAATCCGAAAAAGTCATTACTCGTCGTGATCCACTTGGTGTTGTTCTTATCATAGGATGTTGGAACTATCCAGTTCAGGTAGATTAATGAAAATGTTCAATTGACCATAATAATAATATCATTGCTCTAGCTTTCTCTGGTTCCTTTAGCTGGTGCTATTGCCGCTGGTAACTGTGTTATCCTCAAGGTATACAAAGGGAACACAGTAAATAAGCAGTAATATTGATCCCTTCTATTTTAATTAGCCCTCTGAGGTAGCGCCTCATACGGCTGCACTCATCACTGAGCTATTCCCCAAATACTTGGACTCAAGCTGTTATCGTATTGTTAATGGTGGTGTTGAAGAGTCCACTGAATTATTGAAGAATCCTTTCAATCATATCTTTTATACCGGAAATAGCATGGTTGGTAAAATCGTTATGGAAGCTGCTTCTAAGCACTTGACTCCTGTAACACTTGAATTGGGTGGCAAATCGTAAGTACAGAAATGCGCCCAAGAGCAATAAACCAACATTTAATAGACCCGCTATCGTACTGGAAGACGCTAGCATTCAATTGACAGCAAATCGAATCGCCTTTGGAAAGTTTTATAATGCAGGACAGGTAAATTAATAAACTACATAAAAGCAATTACTTGACATGAAGTGTAGATCTGTATTGGCGTTGACTATGTATTGATCCATAAAAGCCGCTTAAATGACTTTACTGAAGCCTTCAAGAAAACAGTTCATGAATGGTATGGTCCTAATCCTAAGGAATCTAATAATTATGCTCGCATTGTTGCTGATAGACATGTTGATCGTCTTCAAGCTATCTTGGATAACCGTAAAAGTGGTCAGATCGCTCTAGGTGGTCAAATTGATAAAAAAGACCGCTATGTGGCTCCTACTCTGGTTACAAATGTTCGATTTGATGACCCTTCTTTAATGAGCGAAGAAATATTCGGGCCTATTTTACCCGTGCTTACCTTCAATACCTTGGAAGAGGCTATTGCCCTTGTAAACAGAAAGTGAGTAGCTTATAGTAAAAAGAGAGTTCTATGCTAATCATATATATGGCATAGGGACCCACCACTTGCATTATATGTATTTACTCAAAAGAAGAAACTGGCTGAACAAGGTAAGAATAAAAATTTGCCCTCTTTCCCTCAATCTGAAACTAATCCAAAACTATAGTTTTGAGAAACACACGTTCTGGCGGTGTCTGTGTTAATGACTGTTTGGTGCATCAAGCAGGTACGTCCCTTGATTAAATGCATGATGACATCAAGGTCTAACCTTAAGGTCTAATAGAGTATAGCCTTCCCTTTGGAGGAGTAGGTACATCTGGTATGGGCAGTTACCATGGGGAAAAGAGCTTCAACACCTTCACACATGAGCGTGGCATGATAATAAAGAAGCAAAACAAGGAAAGGACTGTCAGTATGCGCTATCCACCTTATACTGATCGCAAATTTAAGATAATCAGCCTCGTACTGGTGAAGCATCCTTGGCTTGTATGGCTAACGGCTTATCGTACTCCTCTTAAATTAATAACTTTTATCCTCGTCTTGCTCAGCGTTGTAGCAAAAATGAAGCGAGCTTGATTTTATGAATAATTTTGTACCTTTTGAGATAAAAATAAATAGGCTTATTACCTTTATTAAGCGTAGCAAATGATATGCTCGATAACCTCAGTGTTCTTTCTCACTCTCTCTCTGCGCGTGTGCGCACCATATCTGGAATTGCGCTGACAGTACACTTTTTCCGGAAAAAGTGTATTATGTATTCAAATGACTGTGCCCCGATGACCAACCGACATCATTATCATCATCCATTGTCAAGTATAATACGTTTAGGTACCACCTATCTTCTTTCAGGCAGAAGGTGTATATGTAAGGACATATAGTTCATCCACATGATGAATTTACCATTGAAATAGTACTGTCTATTAGCATATATTCTGTCGTAATACCTTGAACTATATACACGTTAACTTTAAGGTACAATTTAATTAGCTCATCGCCTTTGGTCTCCCTTTTTTAATCCAGATGCTCCAATGAGTATCAAAATTTCCCTTTATGACATTTAAGGAAAAGAAATAAAGTTGAGTGACTGGTCGTTTATTTTCTCACGCCCTGATTGGTCTAAATTTTTTATCTTTATTTTATAAAAGCACGCAGCGTTCTTTTATCTTCTCATTCTTTTTAGGTTTAAAAAAAAATAGAATGTCTGCTGTTGAATACAAGTTCTTGAAGGAAAAATCAGTTTCTGTTATCGGTGTCCCTTTCAATGGAGGCCAACCACGCACTGGTGTTGAAGATGGTCCTATTCGTTTAGTTGAATTTGGCTTACTTAATCAGTTACAAGAAATGGGCTGGAAAGTATCCTATGAATCAAACGAAGACATTCACTCCTTGCGTCCCCAAGAAGATCCTGATGTCCTCAACTTGAAGCAACCCAAATATGTCTCTGCTGTAACTGAACACGTATCCAAGCAAATCTACCAAAGCGCAAAGGATGGTAAATTCGTTTTAACCCTGGGCGGTGATCACTCAGTTGCTTTGGGTACTGTCTCTGGTGTATTCAGCGCTCATCCTAATGCTTGTCTTATCTGGGTTGATGCTCATGCTGTAAGTTATATTTGGCGTGTGAAATTTATATATGGTACTAACGATATTTAGGATATCAATACTCCTGAAACCACCGATTCAGGCAACATTCACGGATGTCCCGTCAGCTTCCTGGCTGGTATTGCCAATGATCACCCTAACTTTAGATGGGTTAAGCCCTTGCTCAAGACAAACCGCCTTTCTTACATTGGTTTACGTGACGTTGATGATGGCGAAAAGAGAATTATTCGTGAACACAATATTCAAGCCTTTTCTATGCACCATGTTGACAAATATGGTATTGGAAAAGTAGTTGAAATGGCTCTTGATCACATCAATCCCAACAGAGATCTTCCTATCCACCTCTCATTTGATGTTGATGCCTTGGACCCTACTGTTGCTCCTAGCACTGGTACTCCTGTTCGTGGTGGATTGACCTTCCGTGAAGGTCATTATATTTGTGAAGCATTAGCTGAAACTGGATTATTGGTTGCAGCTGATATAATGGAAGTTAATCCATCCTTAGCAGACCCTGAAGCAGTTTTCCAAACAGTGCAAATCGGTTGTTCACTCTCAAGATGTTGCTTAGGTGAAACTCTTTTATAAACTAAAACTTATTTATTTATTTTCCTTCATAAACCTGCACTAAATCTCATAGAACACCCCTCTCTTTAAAATAAATATTTATACTTTTCTCACACTGGATAACACAAATGACATCAAACGGGAGGAATGACTCTAAAAGGAAACTCGTGATTCGCTAGGTCGTGTGAACATTTAAAGTTTAAGGAACACCAACCATGATTGACATTTGTCACTGATCAGATTAGATATCCATAGGCGGGACGTATCGGTTTAATTGCATACATTGATTTCCGAAAAATACAGCTGCGCCCTTTGTAAGAGTAGATGTCATTACATCCGAGGCACCAAGTATGGCATCTTGAAAATATCTCCTAGGTCTTATAATAAATATTCATTTTACACTGAGAAAGATCTTTGTAAATAGACTATTTACAGTAGACTAGTTGTTGTCTACAACTAAACTGACACCATTTAACAAACATAAAAGATGTAACATCAAGCAATACTAAAAGGACAAAAAATACAGTAAAACTAGTATTTTTATACAATATTATACCCGTTCTGGAATAAACGGATTCTTAGTTTTATGACTGGGACATCTGATTCTAATGATATGTACTTGTTTTGTTAATGTAATGACAATTACCTTAGTTTTAATACACATGAATTTATGCTTGGTTACGACATTAGCATTAAAATTTCAACTTAATTGTATTAAAGATTAACTTATAGAACATTTAATTTCTTTTCGGCAATGCTAAACATTAGCAACTTGGCATTTCACATAGCATCAAGAGAAGTAACAAAGATACTCGCTGAAATGTACATTTAGATTCTTTAACAATTGCAAATGTGTGTATTTGAAAAGAAAAGAAAACAAAGCAAACTTCCGTTTTAGCTGCCAACGACAAGTGATAAAATATGGTCACATGAAAAGCACGTGAAAGTCACGTGAAATTATGACAATACATAATTTTTTATGTTCAACAGAAAATGTGAAGCCCGATTGGCCAAATTGGATACGGCGTCCGCCTTCTAAGCGGAAGATTGCGGGTTCGACCCCCGCATTGGGTACTTCTTTTTTGATATTTTTCCCGGTTAAATATTTATCCATCTTTACCTTTCATTTTCAGGTATACCTTTCAACTTGTAAAATGAACAAGCAATCACACTACTGTAACCAAGAAAGTGATATTGTCGGTCTTATGAAAACTTTTGTTTTGTTTGAAAAGGTTGGGATCATAAACAATGAAATGATATAAATATCTTCATCTGTAGTAGTCAAAAAAAAAGTATTCAATTCATATTTTTATCTTATTGTTCAACTAAACAGGCAAGCTTTTGTTATAAAAGTTCCCTATCTCTTCTTTTTATCTTTTACTTTACTTTATACGATATAGTTTGATCAATTTTAAAAGATCTGATGGTTACTTCAAGCACCTAAACTTATAAAATCTCAAGAAAACTCTCTATATTAACAACAACCCTTACAGCTGAAGAGGAGAATAACAATAGTATAAATAACCTTTGGTTGTTCTTTCTGTTCACTTTACTTCTTACTTCACTTTATTTTATATTTATATTTATATTTTTATCAATAAACCTTATTCTGTGCCTAAATCAAGCCTCTGATACTACCATCTCAAGTAAATACAAGTCCCTTGAAACAGTTAGAATGTTGCTGTATCCCTACAGGTTTATCACAAGAAGCTATTATCTTACAATCTTATCCGTTCTTACAAGAAGATCTGGTAATCAAATAGCGACATACTACCAACATGTACAGCCAACACTTTTTCAATTAAATAAACTAACCCAAGCTTTAAGCCAAACTGTACACAAAACCAAAATTTACAACGTCGTGTAAATTCAATTTGACAATTTGACTAAAGTCGATTAATCTATCTGCGCCGCTTTGGTAAGCTTGAGCTTACAAATAGGCTGTCAACAAAAAAGAATGTAATGTACTCCTTTACATCTTTCTAATATTTCTATCATTCCTCTTATTTTCTTACACTCTTGTGATATATACAATAAAAGTTCTTGACTCTATATAATTCTTTATTATTCGCAATGACCTTATACATCATGTATCTTACCATTTAAAAGATATTCTACATTCGCTTTTAACTTGCCCCTTCCAAATACATTATACACACAGTCCTATTAAATGTTATTATATAATGGTTGACAATACCCTCTGTAAGAGGCATATTTTACATATAGATTCAGTTAATTCATTAAAACTTGATGAGAAATGTCATTGCGACTGTACATTATACGTGCTACTTCTTCAAAGCTTATGTAAATGCTATATCTAGTATTATTCTAGAAAGAAGGTAGAAGATTACTTGATGATACAAACTAATATTATCTGTTTGTATCTTGAATAATCTTGTTGGTATGCTCTTTATATAGTAGCAGACCAAATGTAGATCATTGCCTTTATTTCTACTTTGTAAAGTTGATACTGAAAAATAAACTTTTGCCTTAAAAACTTGAATAGAAGCAATACAATCACTAGAGTGAGAAAGAAAGAAAGAAAAAAAAAAAAAAAAAAAAAAAAAAAAAAAAAAAAAAAACAGCCATCTTTCTGGATAATGCTCATTTTAATAAAAATAATAATATACTTTTTTTTGTTAACCAGAAGCGTTATCTGTAACCACTAGAGCTGTTTTATATCTATCCGTTTTTAAGAAAAAATATAGCTATTGTTATGATAAAGCTTAATCACAAGGAAGAATTACAAGAACTCTACAGAAAAAAAATCGAGGCGAAGGTAATTAGAATTTGATCTGCATGGTTTTTTTCTACTTTGATTTTGACTTGAGCTCGTATTTTTTTATTATTCAAAGAATGCATCCCTAAAAAGTATTTAAAGAGACAATAGCTTTGGCCATTTTGTTCTTTTTTTTTTTCTGTCATTTTTTGTTTACCTTTCATTTTATCTTTTATTTCGATGAAGCGTTCCCGAATAATAGGTAAATAAGTTGCCTTTGGTAATCAAGCGTTCATTCACATCTTTATCCCTCTAGCTACCCTCACAGTTATCCCTTTTTTTGCCGCTCATACACTGGCACAATATAACGCTGATCAAGATGCAGCGACGTTGACTTTTGCAATGACTAGGCACTTTACTGTTACAATTCCCGAAGGTGGAGCAAAACCAACGGATTTAACTTCACTCATCCATGAGGACTATGCTAGAAATAATGATGTATACAAGACAGCTTTCCCTTATGACCCTCAAGATGAATACTACGGTCCAATAGACGAAATGCCCTATGATGAATATGATCCAGTTGAAGATCAGAGTGATTTCGACCCCTATGATGGGTATGGTAACGATGATTTATACGATGATGTTGATGATCCCAACGACTACTATGGTAATGATAACCGTAAGGAGCCTCAAGAAAAGTCTCCTGCTGATGATGCCAAGACTAAAGTTCCTCTTACTCCAAAAGGTAGAGTTCAAAACTAACTGAAAAAAAAGCGTTGCTAATCAAATGTTTTAAAAGTTGGTTATTCCACTATCGCTCCTGTAACTAAGAGTGCTACCGCTTCTGCTAGTGCTTCTGGTAGCATATCTAAATCTTTTTCTGGTCAAACGATTTCCTGTAAAACCGATGGACAGATTGCATTGACTTATGTAAGTTTCTTTTTTTTTTTTCGGGAATTTATGCAATATTCATTGATTTCCGCATTCATAGAGTGAAGGTCCAAGTGATGTGACGGGAAAGATAGCTCGTCAGTTGAGCAGCGTTGATGCAAGAGCAAGCTTTTTTATTAATGCTACTTGGTAAGAATGTCAAGCATATATTTCCGAAAGCACAAGGTTGACTTTTCCCTTAGGTTAACTCTTCCACAATACGCAAGTGTTACTGAAAACTTGTACAAAGCTGGCCATTTCATTGGAATGACTTACCGCGTCAAGAACGATAACTCCGAGGCATTGACAGATGCAGAGCTTCGACATGATATTATTAAAAATGCCCAGACCATCCAGAACATCATCGGTGTAGCTCCTAAATATGTCCGACTTCACTATACAAAAGTAAGAGATGTTCGTACCGAGAAAATGTTGGAAAACCTGGGATTTGTAACAGTTGGGTACAACTTGGATAGTCAAGACTATGTGCAAGGTGTCGAATCTGGTTCGGAATTCGTTAAAGGTGTATACACAAAGACTTTTGAAGAATTTAAGGAGAAATATGGCTCTAAAGGTTCTTTCATATCTATTCATTATGATGGACCTCTTTCCAACTCTGTGGAGGCAATCGGAGATATAGTTTCCACAATTGAACAAGGAGGTTATACGATGGTCAGATTGGATGGATGCTTGAATGATCCAAAGCCTTATAAAAAAAGTAATATATAATCAAGAAGCACGAATGAACTTTTATTAATACTGTTTTTATTTTATAGATGCAGATGGACGTGAATACACTTATGACAAGTTTTCATACAAGCAGCCTAATTATCATCAAGGACAGCAGCTTGTAGCAACAGAGCCCTTGGCAACAATTGGCGGAGAAGAAAGTAATCAGCAGATTGAATTTATGGAAAATATGGCAGATATGAACAAGGCTTCTCTCTTCAGCACCTTGCTTGCTGCAGCTTTCTTGATTACTTACTTTTTCTAATACAGATGTATGCAAAGACGTTGCTTTGTTTACTTTTGTCAATATAACAAAACTACAGATAACATTTTAGATCGTAAAAAACTCGTTTAGACAAATTCATAGATTTTAGAATAAAAACTTTTTCTCCCCTTCTTCATCAAATTAGTCTAAAGTTTGGCATTGTGTATCTTGGACAGCCCTCTTTCCATCATTTCAACTGTATGCTCAGCAGATCCCCAGCTTGATTGATAGCCAAACCCTCCATGTCCGTATGCATGGGTGACAAGCACCTTGCGTCCGCTCTCTGTTCCTAAATGTGACAGTGAGTAGATTAAACAAAATATGTATTGTCAGATGCTTACTATAAATTTCATTTTCAAATCGTGGTCCTCCCTCTCTTGTTGGCCTTAGGCCAACGCTATATCTTACAATTTCTAAATCACCAGCTGTAGATAGTTCAGGACATAGCCTTTTGGTTCTTTCTAGTATGTCTTGGTTCGTGTCTGTATCAGAAAATGGGTTGAAGTCATTCTTATTAGCAGTGCCACCTAAAACAACAGTTCCATCTGATCGTGGAATAATATACGTAATGCCATGTGATCCTATCGATAAAGTAAGTAAGTATTAAAAGTGGAGATTTATGATGACGTGTGAGCATATACCAATATACGTGAGTGTTCTTTTGATGTGAGGTGCTCTGGCTACGATCGTTTGTCCACGAGTTGGATAAAGCGCCTTATCTTGGATACCAGCTATATATTTAGACCCTAAACCGGTACAGTTGATTACTACATCTACATCTTGATGAAGGACTTCTCGTAAATCATTAATAGCTCTTTTTTCAATAACGCCACCTAGTCCTTTAAAATTGTTTTCTAGCCATTTCAGATATATAGGTGAATTGACAAGAACTAGAGTAGCACAGCATGAATGTTGATACACACAAGTATTACAAAATTGTTTGTTACCTGTTGTATAAGTATGTCCTATCTTTGCATTTTCTGGTAGCTCGTCTTTCTCTCTTAAAAATTTAAACTAGAAAGGTCAACGATGATTAAAGGAGAAGATAAGAGAGATAGAGCCTTACATTTTTAACCAAATCCTTGAACCATGGGTTAGTGAATTCAGGATTGATATCCTGATAATAGTCATAGCTTGGTACAACCATGATTCCTGTATTAGATTTGCTTTCTTGTTCAGCAATTCTAAGAAATTCTCGATAGCTAACTGCATCCAGTTCTTATAATTTTGTTAAATAATTGCCATATAATATAAGGTAATCGTTTATTTACTTTGTAGCAGCGGATTGTCATTGGGTGCCATTGTCCTCCAGTGCGCACCTTGATATTCATTGTTTGTACAACTGTTTGCGTTTGTCTAAGGACTTACCTGCATATGGAGAAGTGTATTCAATAGCCATGTCACCAGGTGTATATTTAGCAATGATTTTTACGTTTTTCCATCCTCTTTTTTTTAAAGTAAGGGCAGTGGTAAGTCCAATGACACCAGCGCCAATAACAACGATCTTTGTCTGTTCCATAAGGGAAAGTAGCGAAGAAAAAGAGAGAAAGAAATGATCAAAATCTCTGCGGAGCAAAATTATCAAATCAGTAATTCCCAGGCTTTGTATACATATCTCGTAATAATCTAATAGTGAATATCTTGTTGATATATATATATATATATATATACTCTTGAGTATAATGTTTGGTTCTTACAAGCAAATCTATATCGACTGATATATATAGTCGTTTCCACATAATCTTTGCACATGTATGCTTGTATACATAGGTATTAAAGTGTATCAGGTTTCTTTATATCAATAAAGTAAAGGCATACTTTGTTTATTACAAAGTTTTACCTTTAATTTTCTGATAAAATGCTCGGGACATCTGTTTAAAGTTCAAACTAGACTAAAAACCTTTTATTTCTTTTTTCTTAACATGAGTAATTGGGATTCAAGTCAACTAGAAAAACAATTTGGTAATTTGAATTTTGTAATTAAAAATTGTGGCGATGAATGCGATGCTTGTCATTAGATAATCTCACCGTGAATGGTGACACTAATAAATGGAGCAATGTGGCTAGTCAAAGGTAATATTGAATCATTAGCGTAATACTTGACTAATATAAATTATATGTGTATTTTTCAAACAGAACACAAAACAACTGGCAACGAGGTACTTACCAGCAAAGTCATTCTACTAGAGGACGCGGTGGTCAATATTCATCGAATGACAGCCGAGGAAGATCTCGAGGTAGAGGCGGATGTGAACAAAGCTATCGTAGTAGGGATCAAAGAGGTGGCTATCAACAGCAGCAAGCGCCGCAATGGAAACAAGAGCAGAGCCGTAGTCAGAGAAATGATTGGCGGCAGCAGAACACCTGGGGACAGCAAAGACAACAGGAAAATCAAAGTGGAGGCAGTGAAGCATGGAGTAACTTTTCTAGTCAAAGCTGGAACACTCAGAGCAATGCTAGTCAAAATTGGAACACTCAGAGCGGCTCTAGCCAAGACTGGAACGGCAATAAATCATCCGTAAATCCAGTTAATACAGCTGCCACTTCATCAAGCAATTCTTGGAGTCAAAAGCTGACTGAAATTACAGCCTCCTGGAACAAAACCGAGCCAAAACAAGCTACTGAAGAGAAGATATCTTGGGAAGAAAAGCCTACATCATCCTCTGATGGCTGGGGAGGAATGACCTTAGAAAGCATGGGCTGGGCTGAGTCCAATAAGAGGCCCAAGGACGTAAAACAGCCTGGCAAGGGTATTTGGAAAGATGGTGTCCATGAGCTTGGTGATAAAGACGAAGAAGTAGAACGTAAGCTATTTGGCACAGTAGATGATAACCAAGTTCAGCACACCGGAATCAATTTCGAAAAGTATGACGATATTCCTGTTGAAACCACTGGTTCTAATGTTCCTGAAGGAATCATTGAGGTAACTAACAAATGCACTATTTCATTCTTCTCAAACTAGCCTTGCTGGATTTCACAGTTTACACATCCTCCACTTGATAAGCTCCTGATTGATAACATCCGCTTGGCTCGCTATACCGTGCCTACACCTGTGCAAAAGCATTCCATTCCTATTGTCGCTGCTGGCCGTGATCTCATGGCCTCTGCTCAAACAGGTTCTGGAAAAACTGCCGGCTTTCTCTTCCCTATCCTGTCTTCCATGTTTCTACACGGTCCTCTTTCTGAACCAGATAATTCAGAAGTGAAACAAGGCTATCGAAGTTATAGAAAAGCATATCCACAAGCACTTATTTTAGCTCCTACAAGAGAACTGGCTAGTCAAATATATACTGAAGCCAAAAAGTTCTGCTACAGATCCTACGTACGTCCTTGTGTGGCCTATGGCGGCGCCGATATTCAGCAGCAGCTTCGTTTAATTGACAGAGGGTGTCATCTGTTGGTTGCTACACCTGGACGATTGGCTGACATCCTAGAACGTCGTCGCCTTTCATTTCAAAATATTCAATATCTGGTGTTGGATGAAGCCGATCGTATGCTTGATATGGGTTTCGAGCCACAAATCCGTCGTATTGTTGAAAGAGAAGATATGCCACCTCCTGGTAAACGACAAACCCTGCTCTTTTCTGCAACATTCCCTGAAAATATACAGGTAATGGCACGCGATTTTCTAAAGGACAGTGTATTCCTAAAGGTAGGTGTCGTGGGAGCAACTACAGAAAATATTACACAAACAGTCGTGCTCTTAACAGACGAAGAAAAACGGTCTCGACTGCTGCAAGTATTGAAAGAGCACAACAGAAATAAGACAGAATTGACCCTGGTCTTTACTGAAACGAAGCGCATGGCTGATACCGTCTACGAGTTCCTTTTAGATAACCAGTATGCAGCCACGGTTATTCACGGCGATCGTGTTCAAAGTGAACGTGAGGCGGCATTAGAGTCCTTTAGGACTGGAAGAACACCCATCATGGTTGCAACGGCTGTTGCTGCTCGAGGTCTGGATATTCCTAATGTGATGCATGTAATATCCTTTGACTTACCAAATAACATTGATGATTACGTTCATCGTATCGGTCGTACAGGGCGTGCTGGGAACACAGGACATGCCACGTCTTTTTTTACACGCCAAAACCGTTTCCTTGCAGGTCATTTGATCAAGTTACTCGAAGGTGCAAATCAGGAAGTTCCCAGCTGGTTAGAGGACATGCGTGTGGATGAATCTGACATGTATTCAAACAGGTCACAAGAGAACGCTAATACAAGACGTAAATGGTAGATGTCTTTCTTTTTTTAATAGCAATGCTTCTTTAAAGTTGATAATTAAAGTTTACGAAAAAACCGAATTTTTTTATTTAAAAAAGTTGATGAATGCAATGAAAATAGTAAAAGAAAAAAGTAAAATGCGAGGGTAACATGCATTACTCGATACGAGATAGCATACGGTGGAGTCTACGATGAACTCTTTCAAGCTCATCTGAAACTTGAGCAAGACCGTCTTCTTCATAATGACCAGCATCAAAGGCACCTTGATTGTATTGTGAATCAATGGCACGAAGTCTGTCTTGAAGTTTCTCAACATCATCAGCGGTATAGCTTCTACAAGCAAGTCTATTAGACTCCCTTGCGATTTCAATTAATTCATGATGAACGTTCTCCAGATTTTTGACCATAGGCATCTTGGTGGTTAGATTAAAGAAATAAGAAAAAAAGCCTAAAATAAGCGTTGTATTTATACTTTTTTTTTTGACGTCTCATGATTTAAGGAAAGGGATGGGAAAATTTATGCAACCAGTAATTAGATTAAAACGTATGACTTTTTGACTGTATGGAACCATCTAGCATATCTTTAGGGAAATCTATTCATGTGTGTTTACTGTCATCTATTCAGAAGAAGGAAAAGGGATGTAAATGTATTTTCTCTTCTTTTTCTTTTTTGCTTTACTTAATGAAAACAAAGTATTCTTCAATTAAAATACTTTACTATAGAGTTGCTATTACTATGGTTATTGTTACTTTAGTAGCTATTCATATTGCTTTTAATGTTTCCAAAGGTACCAAGAGAAACAAAACTGCACTGTCCTTTGGGAAAAAACAAGTAAATTCATGCAATCCCATAAATTTACCCTTGCCCTCATTTTTATTTCTTTGGTGTAGCAATCAATGCACAATTTTCTAAACTGGTTGAAGGGTCGCAATAGTAAACTAACTTGGCGTCAAACCCATACTTTTCTAAATATTTGATTCTTCCTGCATCCAACACTCTTTTACATTGGTATCCTATCTTCTCTCGTTGTGAATGATCTAAACCTGAAAAGTGATTTCTGTTGCCAGAGTCAGTTTCAAATCTGTGTGGGAATGCGTTTATTCCTTACGCTGTTTGATCAGCATCCTCTTCCTCTTCTAAATCACCGTGGTTTTCTTCATCATTATCTTCCTTTTCTATTTCTTTCTTTAACTGCTGTTGATTTCTTTCACCACAGATGCCCCAGCTACTCATTTTACATAATCTTGCAAATTCAGTTTTATCAATCTGGATGGATTCAAGGTACTCTGTGTTTGGGTACATCTCATAACGGCATAGTTGATGGCAACAGACAGCAATGACAATACCCGATAGTGGGTTACTGCAAAGAATTGTTATAATGTGAACGACGCCCCCCTTTTTTTTTTTTAACTTACCCACGGCCCAGTGTTCGTTCGTGTTCGACATAGTTCATCAAGCACTTGAGGGTCATATCAGTAGCACACCCACAGAGGTGTTTGGAAAAAGCAACCACCTTTTTATCATTGCTTTCAATGCATTCTACCTTGGACAGCACTAAGTCCTTTATATCAATAAGCACGCGCTGTACCGTTGATTTTTGCTGAGTATGTCCAATTAAGCTAGGATCCACCTTATTTCGAACGTTCTTTCGATCAATCAAAACATAACTTGCTTCTCCATTCACTTCGTTCACTGCCTTCTTGACCCATCCTGACAATTCTCCTTTACCAGCACCAAATTCAATAAAAATAGCTGTTTTATCCTGAAGTAGGCCGTTCTGTTCCATATGTCCTATTAATGAAGACTGCTGATCTAAATGCTTTGTCCATTGTACTTCTGCCCTGAAGAGATCGAGAATAAGAATGTCCTGAAGGGCGACTTTGGTTGCGTATTTACCTTTTTTGCTCAAAGACAGTATGCTTTAGTATCTGTGTTTCGATTGATCCCACATGTTGTTCATAGGCTGTTCTAACTTTCTGGATAATAGAGTCTAGTTCCTGGCGGCTCAGTGTCTTTAATTGAACACGAGCAAGCCAAGGCTGAATATACATCTTTTGATGTGAGTAAATGTTTTTCTGAAACTCTAGCTCTTCTTTTGAAAGTTCCAAGGTACAGTTGACATTAAGAGAGTGACAGACAGGTAAACCCTTAGGACGCGAATTGCATCTCTTTTCCATATGAACCTTGAGATCTTTTTCAAACACGGTGCTACATAATAACGTGTTGGCTTATTCTCTCTTTTTTTTTGTATACTTTCTTACTGTGAATTATCATAAGGACAAGGCACTCGCTTGAGATCAGAAGCCTGATTGTCTGGATCTAGCCCCAAATGCTCTCCACAGTATTTTTGTGACTTTTTGGCAGGTAGGTTGCAGTATCTTCTCTTTCGAGCCACGAAAAAGTGACCTAGAAGGAGACACTTAGTGTGTGTATGCGAACAAGAGTTTCATGCTTTTACATTGTTGTGGTTTGTTTGGTACAGGAGGAAGATCTAAAGGTTGGTTCTTGTTGATCTTTGCTCTTTTCTCAACAGGTTCTTTGGGCATTTCAATTTTTTTTTTTAAAAAAAACAAGGGCGAGAAAAGAGAAAGAGACAGAGAATTTTATTAACCAATTAAACATGGCAAAAAAATTAATCCCAGCCAGAGGAGGCAGGAGCAGCAGAAACATCCTCAGCCCAGTCGCCAACTTCACCGGAAGGAGCTTCAGTGTTCCAATCAGCAGCAGTGGCGGCAAAGCTGGAAGGGCCTTCAGCTTCAATAGTCCAGTCTTGATCTTCAGTGGTAGCACCGTAGTCAAAGCGGTTGATTTCTTCAGCCAATTCAGCAGCTTCGTTTTCCTTTTCGATTTCCTCAGGATCGCGGTAGAAGAACATGTCGACCATAACATCCCAAGGGGTGTTGTAGTCCAAAGTACCACGAAGACGGAGAACGGAACGAGCTAAGAGCCAGTAAATCAAACCGATGGCGTGCTTACCCTTGTTGTTGGTAGGGATGGCAACATCAACGTATTGAAGAGAAGCGTCAGCATCAGCAAGAGAAATAACAGGGATGTTGACATAGGAAGCTTCCAAGATAGCTTGGAAATCAGCACGAGGGTCAGTACAGATGACCAAACGTGGTTCACGGAAGGAACGGGTGATGTAGTTAGTGAAGGTACCAGGAGTGAAACGACCAACGATGGCTTCAGCACCAATGTACTTGGCAAACTTCAAAGCGGCACGGTGGCCATAAGAAGAAGCGGCGATAACGACAATATCTGCAGGGTTCTCGATGGTGGCGATAACACGGGCAGCAAAGATAATCTTTTCCCAAGTCTTACCAAGGTTGATCAAATGAACGCCTTAAATAATGATAAGTTTTTTGTTCTGTTTAGTTATATATATAAATGTACCATCAGAACGACGCTTGAAAACATAAGGCTTCATACGAGCATTAAGGTTTTTAGTACCAATGTGAGCCTTGGCAGCCAACAAGAGTTGAAGATCTTCTTCAGTAGGATTCAAAACTGAGAAATGAATGGGTAAGAAAAGGGGATTAGAATGAATCTATTATTCACTTACTAGCAGGAACTTTAGACATTTTGATTTTTTTCAAGTAGGACGGCTATCGTTTAGTTTCTGACAAAAGTTAAGGTGTGCAGAGTTATTTGTTGAAGGCCAAATAAGTCCGGGTTTGAAAAGGAAAAGAGGGAAGGATTCATTGTTTGCCTGGTTCAGTCAAGGTTTTATTGCACCAAAAAATCTTTTTCTTTTAAACTCAATTCAAACGCCACAATTTTTTTTCGTTCTCAATGTATCTGTGCGCTTACACTATTCGCACTTTAAATTCGGACAAGCGTAAAATGACTTCAGGCAGTAGTAAAAAACTATTCAGACAAAGGCTTTTAAAGATTTTAAATGATGCCAGTTTGTCTATTAAGATATCTATCCCTGAAAGTTTCAGAGTGTCTAATCCAGCCAAGGCAGACTTCTGTAGTGATAGTTTCACAAGCGACCTTAATTCTGAATGTCAAAGTATCTAGAGCTAAGTGATTTTACGATCGACAAGGTAAATAGATATTTTCGTTCATGTACTGTGGGCCTAGGAAGAAAGGATGCCTTTGTCTCTTACCACGGAGGTACTGATGTGCGCCGCCTGTCCTCTGCTGAGTACTACGGTATGGGTGGAACTGTAAAACGCCAGAAATTACAACAAGGTCGTAAAAAAAGCTTAGGTATTGAAAGAATTGAAACAAATATGCCTTCGCCGAAAACAGCATCCATTCAATAATATATGCTATATATAGCTTATATACTGCAACATGGGCGTCTTGTTGAACTTTTGCAATTTTGAGACTGCAAAGCTAAAACGGCTAAATTATGTTGGGTCCCAAAAGACCATTCAAGAAAGCGTGAATATATTATTGAATGGTGGCAAAAAATATAACAAATCACGAAGAAAAATACGAAGAGGAATATAAAAAAAGGAGAAAAGCTCGAAAATCTGTGATTGCCCAAGAGGAACACCCGCTTCTTATCCTACAATCTGAAAGGTATATACTTTTTTCTTTTTCTTTTTAGTATAATCTAAGCATTATTCGTATCTTGTAGGAGGAAGAACAAAAACCGTTTTGAAGAAGGCGACTGCAAAAAACGCCTTTGGTTATCTTTGGTGGCGGGCTGAAAAATAAAGACCATGTTAGGTTTAAAGGTCTTTGGCATGGTGTCTCCAACAAAATTTATAGGCAATTAAAGCAAAGAGAGGGCCTTAGAGAATTGTTACTTCTCGATATCAATGAATATAAGACCACCAAGGTTAGTATAACAATGATCATAGATCATACATTCTAAACAATATCTTTATAGACCTTCAACTCTTGCTTAAATCAAGACCTACAGAATCTGAAGTGTAGAAGAGATGACGATGTCAAAAGATCCATCAAGTATTGAAGTGCAACACGCAATATTTTTTGGAATCACGATGTAATGGCCTCCAAGAACATACTTCTCATTGCACATACTATCTGGAATGATCAAGGTCGGCCTAATGTCTTCAAAAGACAACTCGCCACCTCCAATATGGTTGCTTCATCCCATTCCGGTGGGGCGCTGGCTTAAATGTTTTACAGGTAAAAAGAGTAATTGTCTGAAAACTAATGTTCTTTTGTATCTGAATTTCCTTTTTTATTTCATCCAAAAAAGGTAAACAAACATCTAAAAATTAATTTTGATTCGTCCAAAAAAAATAACATTGTCTGAATTTAAAGTACGAATACTGTGTACAAAGGGCATGCAGGTGACTAGAAACTGAAACTAGAAACTAGACAGCCTTTATTTTTATTAGTAACAATGTCTTTGTTAGCTTCCGTATCTTCTTCTAAGCGTGATCTGCAGTAAACAACTGTATAACTTAATGAGTGTATGATATATTTACCAGTGAAAAAGAGATGATTGTTTGTTCCAAAGAAGATTTGACCAAAACTTGACAATGTAATCTTTTTCTGACTAGCTTTATACTCTGTCTTTATGATGCATGTTTAAACTAGAAAAGCAAAAAGTAGACTACCAGTTTCTTTTTGTACACATTGAGAGAGGGGTTATTTTTACATGAATAAACAAATTTGACATTTTCTTCAGCGCGACTGGATATATTTTGTAAGTTACAGTTAGTTACATACTACAACATACCTTGGGGCTAGCAGGGAAATAGTTGGCCTTACTTTTGATCCAAAGAAGAAAAGAAGTCAAGCTCAGATTACTTAACAGCTGCTTAGTTACGTGTTATTTATAAAGTGTTGATCACATTATATGAGTCTCAAAAAGATGAAGATTGTTTTATATTACTATTCGCTGTCAAACTGGAAACAATAAAGGAAAAGATTGATAGCCAGCTAAAGTGTTTAGTATGCAAATAATTTCTGAATTGTTGTGTACATTTCTTTTTTTGGTTTTTCTTTTTATTATTTTATTACTAAATGACTAGTTTTAAAGAACTGAAGCAAAGACTATTTCACCCATATTATATTATTCATTTTCTATATGGAAGTTGTTATGTTGTCATTCGACTAATTCAATTATGGAAGACACAATCTATTAACCTACAAGTAAAGAATAAATTCAAAAAAGAGAGAGAGTAAACCTCATTCGTTGCCTAGGAAACTGAAGCCAAGGCATTCTTATTGCTCACATTTTTGATTATTTGGAAATGTATTATATCCATATCTGCAGAAGAGTTATCGAGTGTTATCATTTTATACACAAAGTTTTTTACTCTCTGTAGTCTATTTTGGAGAATTGGATTTTGGACATCTTTCTTTTACATTGTTGGCTGGATAGGTAAATAATAAGAGTAACGAGAAACTTGTATTGACACGTTCTAGTCTTTTCTACACTTTTTCCACAGCCTTGGTACAGAGGGCCTAGTGAAGTTGCCGACTTGACTGAGAGTTCGTTCCGAGAGAATGTGCTTTTGAAGAAATCAAACACATCCAAGATTACAGAGATCAATCCAGACGATGACACCAAGTATTGGATTGTAATGCTCTATGCTAATTGGTCAGTGGCCTGTTTAAATTTTGAAGCAGTCTTTGCCAAGCTTTCATTAGAGTATAAGGATGTACCACATTTAAAGTTTGCAAAGGTCGATATTGATGTATACTCTGATTTGGCAGAGGAATTTGGAGTGAGCAAGGATCCAGCCTCATTTGATCTGCCTACACTCATCTTATTTCATCAAGGCAAAGAGATCAGACGACTTCCCGAGCTGACAGTGACAAAGGAAGGAGAGACAACGTCTAGAACAGATGCAGCAAAGAATACAATCACTCGTTTAGGATGGAGCAAAAAGCCTGTGAGTTATTTAATTGTTTATGTTTATATGACCTAATATGTACATTTTACCCTTAGGCAACCATTGTCCAATCATTTTACTTGGAAGAAATCAAGCATGAAAAAAAGCATCAGTAACCAAACTGCAGTAGAAAGGAACTCATTACGTAATAAAAGAACCCTTACTTTCTGCATATGTCATGTTGATGTTTTCCTTTGATTCTTTAAAAAGCATCATTCACAGGCTTAGATAAGGAGATGTTTTAAATAATTTATGCTTTCTTGTAGATTGGCTGCGCGTCATAGTCGGGTTTGAAAAGAAAGAGAGGGAGGGGGGAAAGCAATGAAAAATAAGGGAAACTGAAATATTTCAGATTAAGACTGGTGAGAAGAATAGCTTTATATTTATATATATATATATATTGTGTTTATATACATTAGTAATCATCATGAATGCCAGTTTAAAATAGCTTTTAAAACATCGTCCTTCTTCATAATAACAAAACTATTGGTGGTTATTGCTTGTAGAATGATTGTTATTACTGCGAAATATATGTGAAGGACGAGTGAAATAGACTGGCATCCATGTAGAAGAAGAAGACGCCGGTGCTTGATATTCATCATGAACTGATGATTCACACGACTCTGGGCTTCGAATTTGGGTCACGATCGCCTGTTCATACTTTGGTGGCAGTATAGACGATTTGTATGAAGGCAGCGATTCATTGGCTGATGTCTGTCTACTGATCTGTGAGAACGAGGGTGGTGCAGTACTTGGAATGCTTGGTGGCGTATTTTTGTTTATCTTTTTCACACGCTGCTTCAAGAAACAGGCAACACTAAAGGCAGCAAGACAAAAACTAATAAAGGTACATAATGCAATCAAAGTGGTCGTTGCGATAGGATGATGTCGATGAGGTTGTTGTGGCTCTGGTTGCGTCTGGGTTATGTTTGACTGTCCATGCTGTATTGTTGTGTTTTGAGATAGGATAATAGGCTGACCGACGAGCATACAGTTGAACGGATTACATGTCAAATTGTGCCATGCAAATGTCACAGAAGATTGACGGTACTGGTAGCATTGTGTGCTTGTAGCGCAATAGTCTCCACTGGAATCATTGCCGCTTGACAAACAATAGCCATACCATGGATAAAAAGCACCCGTGCTACATTCATCTTTGCCCTTGATACAGGAGCTGTCGATACACATTGCACAGTATTTGCAAATACCGTCTTCGCCACAGTGTTGCCCGGAAAGATAGGTGCACTCATCATCCGAATTATCTTCAGTATCGTCAGTGTCATCATCGCTACCGTCAGCACTTGGGCTACTATTATTACTATCATCATCTTTTTCTAATTCATATGCTGCCACATTGTAAAGACTAAGTAATATCGATATGTAGAGTCTCACGACCATAGCTGATAGAAATTATCAAAGAATAAAGGAAAGAAAGAAAGGCACTCACATATGCATCAACACGCTCTCCTTTTTTCCTTGCCGGTTTATCTTGCTAATATTACCTGAAAAAGAAGTTAGGGATAAAAAAAAAGAGGAGAAGCGAAAGAAAGGATTTAATTTAGGTACAAATCTCTAGGATACATAAATAATTAAAAAAAAATCTTAAAAGGTATACATTTTCTCCATGGCTTGACGTTGGAGTACACTGTGTTGGAATCTATGAGCTATTAGCGTATGAAGCACATTATGCTTATAATGCTTACTTTTTCAATGATTCATTTTCCTGAATAAGTCTTTCAACTTCTGATAATAGTTCAGTTTGCATATTTTTTAAATGTTGAAGTTGCTGAACGGCTAACATAAGTCAAGAGTCAGTAATTGTACTATAAGGAAGATAAGCACTCACTTCTTGTCAACAAAGCAGCTTTGCTCATTTTTTTATTGTTACAGCCAGGCAAATGTTTTCTTAATTCATCAAATCCATCCTTAATCTGTGCTCTTCTTTTCTGTTCTGATTGAATATGAATCTGTCGGCGAATTTCTGCGCTTGTCATATTATTACGACTATTTAAACATATTAGGTCACGGGCTGAATCATGAAAGAGGACATCTTACTCTTCACTTTTGATTTCATCCTCATCCTCATCCTCATCATCCTCGTCCTCCGATTGATCTCCTTTCTTCAATTTCTTCTGTTGTTGCTGAGGCTGCGATGATGAAGTTCTTTTACGTTTATTGCGCTTGGATTCCATCTTCTTTTCATATGTTTCCTTTGAGTATTCCAAAAATTCTGTATGGTAAAACTCCATTGGTACAGAATTAGCACGAGTAATCATCTCTTTCACTCTAGCCGTTGTAGAATTAGAAAAGCGCGTAGAATCGAGGGGAGTCAATAAATCATTATTAGCTGATGCTGTCGTCGTCGTCAGTATGGGTTGCTGAGATGTAAAATGATTGAGCTGGTTAGGTGGAGAAGGTGATGGTGTAGGAGAGGAAGTAGAAGAGATGGAAGATTCTGGGCTGGTAGGTTGAACTTTATCTTGAAAATAACCTAATCTTGCCATTGGGTAATTGGGTGGATATCCTATAGGAAATGTCGTGTAGGCTATTGTGAAGAGTCATTATTATATAAACGACCTGGAAGGATTGCTTACCTGGATATGATGAATACGCTTCCTCGAATGACGTAGTAGGTACAGTGTTGCTAGTTGCTGTGCTATTGTTGTTGTTACTGCTGTCATTCTTTAATCCAGGGTTAATATCGACGATCATTGATCCATTTGTATAGTCATATTCAGTGTTGGATAAAACGATTTCGCTCATATGATTAAGGAAAGGGATGGGGTGTTGGTATTGTTAAGGAAAGTAAGTGGGTTGTGTTGTAAAGAGATGGAAAATGAAAAGAAAAAAGAAAAGAAAAAAAGATTTTTTGTTATATATACAAAAAAGGACCTAGGGACCATCATTTCAAGTGGGTTTAACAGCCGATAACAACTAGACCATCATCGTTTCTTTTTTTTTTTTACTCCTTTCTTAAGCTACCCATTTTATTTTGGTTATGATTGTCCATGACAACTGATGATGGTAACATTGGTAACAAAATGACATGATGTTTTATAGCTTTTTTTTTTTTTAGTTTCTATTTAACTCGCTCTGAAGTCAATTGTTACACAGCCATTGCTTGTTATTACTCCTATTGTCTTTTTTTACCTTTCGCTATTGACTTGGCAACAGTTCATTCGCCTTTTATTTACTTAAAGAGACACGAGTCATTTAATAGATTGACTTAATTTACAAATACGAATCCTTATGTATAATCTTATCTTTTTTCCTTCTGCTCTTTACTACAACAAAAAAGAAAACGTGGTATATTGCGTGTTACAATAATTAAACAACAGCACGCAGTGATATTTATTATTGAAAAAGGAGAAATCATCTGTCGAGCTTGAGAGCTCTCGTTACCTTTACTGATGCTGCCATCCTTGTCAACACGCCTTTATGTCATTTTACCTTTCCGTGATCATATATATGAGTCCTATTGCTTGTGAATTTTTCTATATCTATTATCAATCTATTGCTTCAAATGTTTACATACAAAAAAGCAAGGAGATGTTTCATTTTAGATTTTTAAAGGAGTGGCTATATTTCAAAGAAAGGAGAAGAATAGTTTAAAAATCACAAGATACAAGGAGTAACATGTCTTTTAGAATTTGCTTTCCACAGACAACAGATGCGCGCTTAGATAAAGTCTACGCCATTGGCTCTGATCCGACACATTTACCCCATTAGGCTTTACATATTATGCTTGCATTACCAGCCCTCCTTTGCGCATTGTATTCTTACTTAGAGTAATAATTAAAGTGCCAGGTTCAAGGGTGGGGTTTTCAAAGAAAGACAATGTGTAATATCTACTTCGTTGCCCGTTGTTCAGAGTTAAAGCTCTTATGTTAAGGCCATCAGCTGCAATACAGCCTCTTTAGAAGAATATGATTTTATAGCTTCAGCCTCATCCTGATCTTGAAGCATTAAAGGATTATATCACCTAATGTATCCACGCTGTCATGGATACATTTACAAGAACTGCTTCCTTTGTATATCCGTTCATGTATTTATAGTGATAGTCTCCAGCAATTCATCATTGTCTCGTAAATATTTAACTGTTGTATTTCATTAAAAGAAAGAAAATACAAAAATTAAAAATGCCAAGACTTATACAAAGCTTCCAGGCATAACTCAATGCACAAAAAGGGAAAATCAGTACCCTCTGCTACATTTGGATACTTTTGCTACTCTTCTTCTTTTTTTTGCAAGTTCAAGATTTTATACATCAATGACGAATAAGAAATACTAGGCCTTATAATGTATCATTCCTCAGAGGTTTTCAAGTTTAAGCAATCAGCATGAAGACTTGTTTCCTTGAAGCTTCGTTTTATTGTCTAGAATAAGTAGATAACTACATCTTATAAGCAGATTTAACAAAATGCCGCATCTTCATTCTCCTTTTTTTTTAACTCCTGACGCGAGCATTGTCTTTTTGGAGCATTCCGTCGTCATATATGGCAGATGACTTGTTTAAAAAGATTCTGGACTTTTATTTCATTGTTTACAAGTCGCTTTTGCGAACCTTTTCATACTAGTTGGTCTTTTTATATCAATTTATACTCTAGCTTTTCTTGAACGGCTTCTTGGCCATCTTGGTGGCTACTTTTGAACCTTAACATATCACACATATATCTTTACATTATCATATTGCTTATGCTTGGTGAAAGTAGTGTGTCTTTGATCAACTAAAAATCAGTAGGCTGATTCTATCATTCTAGAATCTTCGACTTAATGATAACATTAGACATTGAATAAATCTCATGAACTTATGCTTCACACTTTTTTCGCAGGTTCTACAGTGATGAAAATTTTTAATTGTGGGGCCTTTTCTTATTGTCTTTGGTTGCTTGGATATCATTTGAGCACAAATAAACTGAAAGTGTAGTAGCCTGTCAACATCATACCGATTATTACTTGATTATTGGTTTTATGTAAAGCTTTTGAACTTCAAAACGACATCCGGTAATAAGACGCTCTTGTCTGGAACATCATTTTCAATGCTTTTTCCAACATTGCTATAGTAACTCAGGGGTGTACCCTTGAACATTGGTCATTGCAGCAGGGTCGCATGTGTCATACAGCTCAAGCTCCTGATCGATTCAGAGCCTGCCTCGTATTTTCATCCGCTTCTATCCAACATCGTCTAGCTGCCAAACAGCTCACGTGGAACTTTTATGCGAAAAATGTCGGAACATGAAATCGCTTGAATGAACAAACTATTTCGAAACAAGAGAAAAAAAGCCATTTAGTGCCAAAAACAATGGGCTCACCTATTTTTGTCTCTTTCTTTTTTTTCTATTCATGTAGTTTGTTCAATATGGGAATAAAAAAGTTATTTTCATCATCATCTAAAGAAGCTAAATACAACCCTAGACGCGAGTCAACTATGTCGTCTATCTCACTGTCTATTGGTAAATGGGCTCAGCCTCAGAAGAGAAGGACTATACCAACTGTCACTACCGATAGTCATCCTCAAAACTCTGTTGATCATACCATGACCTCTAGTCCCGAGAGTATGAGTTCATTTGAACAAAAGGAAGAAAAGATCGAGCTGCCTGTCACGCCGTCTCCATCAGACGAAGAAGAAGACAATAAGAGAGAGGGTAGCTTTTTTAACGAGAAAGGATTCAAAAACTGATGTCTATTTTTCTAGATGAGTCATTACTGCTCTATAGACATATTGCAGATATGAAGCAGCGTTTAAACAACGTAAATGAAAGACTAAACGATGCATTAGAAAAGACAGAATATTTTGAAACAAAGTTCAAATCCCTATCCGAGTCAACAAAACAAATCGTCTCTGGCAGCGCACGGTTAACTTCGGAAAATAAAGAGTTGAGAAAACAACTAAAGACATATGAGGACACAATCGATAAAATTCTCGAAAATCATACTCTGGAAGGGGATAGATTACAACAACTGGAAGCGTTTTGTACACAGCATCAAAAGCATATTGACAGTCTGGAGCAAAGAGTGACTGAGTTACAGTCACAATATGAGTCTTATATGGAAACAACCGAGTCTTCTCTAAGAGAAGAGTTAAAACAGATCGAGCAAACAAAACAGGAGGACATGGAACAACTACGGGTATTACATCAGTCTGAAGTAAATCAACTGAGCCAATCATTTAAAGAAAAATACGCACAACTTGAGGAAGAGCGTGACGCGCATATTGTCGAACTGAAGTCAAAGATGCAGACAATTTATGAAAGACAGGAGGATGAAAACATAAGGCAGTATAGAGAAGAAGGTGTCAGGCTTCAGATGCAGATAGATACGTTGATGCAGGAAAACGCATCGCTTAAAGGACAAATTGATACGCTAAATGAACATGTCATAAAAACAACTCAGCTTGAAAAAGAAATTGCCTCAGTTACAGCACTCAATCTGCAGCTTACAAAGCAGCGCGATCTAGACCACCGCGGACAAGAAGAATTACACAGCCAGATATCGATTCTGCAGGATGAGAATAGGCAGTTGAAGGAACAATTAACCGATACAGAAAATATGTCACGAAAGACAGCTACACAGATGATGGATGAAAATGAACAGCTAGAGAAGCAATTACATGAGAGGACACAGGAGATGATTGCGGTCGAAAGGAAATTAAAGGAAGAAAATCAAAAGCTACAGGCGGCCATTGAATCATTACAGCAAGAGCTGAGCAATCAAAAACTAAAACCAGAAGGGACCTTTGTAAGGACGAAGAGTAGGCAACAAGATGAGCTAGTGAGAATGCATACGAAAGCGCAACTTGGCTTAATTGAGTACCTTGAAGGTGAAGATGACGTGGTGCAAGCTTTGTCAAGGTTTAAAAAACAGTTGGAAGCTGAAATGCAGGAAATTAACGATACCGAAGTGATACCCTCTTCTTCTTAAACGTGCAAAATGATGAGCAAAAATAAAACAAAGTTTGTCTATTGTACAAGTTTGTCAATGTTTAAAATAGAAATGTTTTTTGTTTATCTATCTTAATTTTCACGCTATTTTGTTATGAAAAAGGTTGATAAGCGTGTTTTGTTTATAACCAAAACTTTAAGCCTTCCATATACATACTATCTCTCTCTTTTTTTTTCTTAAATGTATTCAGGGTGCAAACTCAAGTGAAGTAGATAAAACTGAATTTTAAATGAAAAATCCGGGACAAAAAATTTACAAGATAACAGTAAAAAGGAGAAAGACTGTTTGACAGATGGCACGTGTGATAGGAAGAGGAAGAAAAAAAAGAGATGATTACCTTAGATTTGAGTTATTTTACTTTAAAAAGGATATAATAGACCTTTTCAATATAAATTAAAAGCAGGCAAACGCGTTATTGTCAAAATAATTGACGTATTCCCCTCTTGTTGTGTAGCAACGGATCGGAATCAGATAAGAAAAACCTCTTTCTTTTATTATCCGGATTTGCCGAGTTTGGGTTTGTTTAATTGCACAATGGATATATAACTCTTCTCTTTCTTTGGTTCCTCTTCTTTCAGCTTCTTTTTTTTACTCTTATCGCTCTGTCAACATGATGAGTATCGCTTCACCCGTTGTTAATTATAAAAATGAAGGCAAATCAACTTGTGTCGTCTGTGGATCTCAGAACCATATGACAAGTAAAAAGTTTATGATAACTACTATCTTTAACTAACACAGAGTTTATTATAGAACATTGTCCAGTAATTCCATAAGACTATCTTTATATATATATACATATTATATATATATACACTTCACTCATTCATTTCATTCATCAAAAGTATTACATTCACTTTAAACTATTTGCATCTATGCCATACATAATCATTTCCCCTCTTTAAATTTCTTTTTATAGTATTTTCTAGATGAAGGCCTTTTTTTCTATATTTATCTTATGCTTTTTTTATGCTATGTAACTAACTCTTATTTCTGCAATAAAAGAAATTGTATACTATGTAAGCATGTGATATCTGTGGCAGCTTAAGCCATACTATGATGCACTGTCATTGGAATCAGAATTTGACCCTTAATACACTCTTATCTTTTTGCACGTGAAAGCATTGCTAGAACGGTGTTCGTGATTGCTTCATTGCTGAAATAATTGTATCAAGCATTCAAAATCCGATTGGATAAGTTACTCATATTACTAAAGTGTAGAAAGCAGTGATTCCTTATTGAATAAAGCTGGAAAAAAGGCAGACAAAAATTTAGTTTATCTTTGTTTGTCTACAATAAAGGACAAATCATTCGCGTCTTGAACATTTTCCTCGATTCAAGACAAGTAACCAAGCCACGTGCTGCAGCTTTTATCTTTTTAAGGGTGCACCATCTAAAAACATGAATCATTTTGCTGGAAAATACAGCGCTGATCGTTATATGCATACAACCAGTCCCTGAGATAACAAATGCCCTGCAAGGGGAAAAAGAGTCTGTTTTTGGGTTTCGTTTTTTGAAATTTCCCTTTGTAGAAAGGTCCTAGCAGCAAATTTTTTACCGGGGCCTCTAACCTAAAAAAATGATTGGACAGGTTCTTAACTTGATATTCCAAGGGAGACTCGGTTAATCTATATTGAAAGAGACAAAGAGATCAAAGACCGGAAAAACATATACATATTTTGAGCTTATAAGTAGTAATTTATTATATATTCAAACAAAAGGGAATTAGTTATATTATTGGTAAGCTGGTTCATCTATGCATTCTGCTACAGTTACAAATTTGTAGTCCTTTTCTTTTGCATATTCTACAACTTTAGGAACAAGATCATTAACTGTTTGTTCATAGACTTCGTGCTGAAGAGCAATATGGCCATGATCAGAAGAGGAATCCATAACGCTCTTGTAAGCATCTAACTCTCCAGAAAGGTCGTGATTCTCCCAATCTCTCGTATCGATGTCCCAAGTGACTACCTTGTAGCCCAAGTCAGTCAACACACTCAAGGAATTGTCATCTATATTTCCTTCGGGTGGACGCATCATTGCGGGCTTTTTACCAATAGCGCTTTCGATGATGTTGGCGAGCGTATCCATTTGTTCTTTGATCACATCTTCAGAGGCTCCAGTAAGACTCCTGTGCTCATAGGTATGACTAGCCACCTGGTGCCCTAAATCATAATAATGCTTGATGACATCCATATATGAGTGACCATCGTTGTCGGACTCTGATTGAACATCACTAGCCTAAAGTCAATATACGAATCATTCTGAATCAAGCGTACACTTACACCCAGTTCTTTCCATTGATAAAGAAGGTAGCCTTGATACCCTCATTATGGAGCTTCTCTGCCAACTCCCAAGAGTATATATAGGGCCCATCATCAAAAGTCAATGCGAGTTCATTAGGTCTATTGCAAGAGGTGTATACTTTGCCATCTCTCTTCAAAAGTAAAGGGCTACCGAAAACAGCGGTTGCAGTGAGAGTGAGACTGGTTAATAAAGTACCGAGATACATGTATAAATGAAAATAACAGAAGAAAAGGATAAGGGGAAAAAAAGATCAGAATAGCTTCGTCATCTTTTATACTTTTAGAAAAACAACAGAAAGAGAGAGATGACAGAAAAGCCATTAAGGTTTCATTAAGAAATTGTTGTTTTTAGAATTTGCGTTGTGTTGTGTTGCACTGATAGCAGATTGTTTTCAGGGGGAAAGAGAGGAAACAGAAGTGTATATTGCATATTTAGATTTATTCACAATAAAGTGTTTTCAATCTCCTTGGCCTTATTCATAACCATCTTACCTTTTCATTGTCACACGTTTATTTTCTTTATTGGATTTAAATGTTCTACGTTTGCAACACAAATCAACATAAATAAGTGGCGTAATCAGAATAAACGGAGATGGTAGCAAAAAGTATAATCAGGGGGGGGGGAAGAAGGAAAAACAGGAGGTAAACGGAGGGGGGGGGGTGCAGCGAGCGAAAAGCGTTTCTCCAAAGGTCAAATAAAGGGATTAACAAGATCGTCAAATTATTGATTTTATGTAGTACCAAATACAAATAAGGAACATAAAACAACATTCCTTATTGCTTTGACAAATTTATGCAACACAGATGTAACATGCAGCTTACAGCCTTTAAGCATTAACGCGAGAGGTGACGACGCATCGAGAAAAAGTGGCTGCTTAAGGTTTAATACGTATCATGTAATATTTTATAGCTGTATTTTTCATTTATGTTTACGATATCGAATTTGTTTTATAAACCTTCATCGTTTCTTTCCCCTCTCTTTTGGATAAATTGTCAGTTTAAAAACAAAAGTCTAGATCAGCTGAGTGACATTACCAAGTAATTTGACCGTGGATATTAAAAAAAAATAAAAACAACGCAAGATAGCATCTTTGTTTGATTTGTATTGCAGCAAGCATATCTCACATTAACCGCGGCTTCAAACATGCAATGTATCATTCAAGATAGAAAAAAAAAAATGCATATTATACAAATGGTCACTACTAGGGCAATTTACTGCAAGCGACGGTATAGTGAAGATCCCACTAGACAAATTGAAATACTGGCCGAGCGTCCTGATGACTATAAACAGGCGGCAAATAAACAGTGTCAGAAACGAAGTTTATACACAATTTATAGAGCCATTTAATCCCTTTTCTCTCGGCTGCAATTGCTTTGGTTATTAGTGGGCAAAATCAAAAAGCGAATATGATCTTATGAGATCCTTTGAAAGGAGTGTTGGCAAAAATCTCTTTTTTGTTTAAAAAGAACTTTCAGCAGTGTTGTTTTGAATTTATTTTCTTGATAAACTTTGAAAGTTGTGCAAAATATGCAAGGTTGAAGCAAAGAAAAAAAAAAGCATTGCAGGCTATAGCACCAATACCTTATAATCCAGATGTAATGAATTTCTAATAATAAAGCTTTAAATAAAAAATGAATAGTCTAAGAGAACACTAAATTGTCATAAAAGCGTTCTAAAGATTTTAGCGTCTTCTGTGCTTTATATTAAGGATAAAGTTATGCAGTATGTACTTGCAAGAATGCAATGACATGCGTCACAGTGCTTCTCAAGATGTATAGACAGCCATTACAACCACAGATTACAGCTAATTTGCAGATGTGGTATGCTTGGTAGGTTTTACCCTCGGACTGGTGTGAATATTAAAGTCCGTGTAAAATAATATAAAAGGGCAAAAAATTAAATCTTGGTAATGCAGAGACAATGATTTATTATATAATACACTTATTGTTACACGGATACAAAAAAACACTTAAATTAGTTTTGGTAAGGTTCAACACCGACACATTCGGATGCAGTGACGAGTTGATAACCCTTTGCCTTGAGGTAGTCGATGGCCCAAGGAACGAGCTCATCAACAGTTTGGTTGTAGACTTCGTGTTCAAGAGTGATGTGGCCAAGAGTTTGAGGAGTATCCTGGTCCATTTCTTGATAAGCAGCCTTTTCTTGTGCAAAGTCATGGGCTCTCCAGTCGTTAGTATCAAGATCCCAGTTAACAACGCTATAACCGAGTTCCTTCAAGACAGCCAAAGAGTTAGCATCATATGCACCAGTAGGAGGACGCATGAGGGCAGGTCTCTTGCCGATGGCCTTGAAGATAATGTCTGATTGGGTGTTCATTTGGTATTCAATTTCTTCTTTAGTTAAGCCAGTGAGTACTTTGTGTTCATAGGTATGGCTAGCAACTTCATGACCCATATCATAATAATGCTTAATGACTTCCATATAAGTCTTGTCACCATCAGAGGTGGTGACTGTATCTGATTCAACATTGACCCAGTTGTTGCCGTTGATGAAGAAGGTTGATCTGATACCTTGTTCATTGAGATACTTGGCTAAATCCCAAGAGTATTGGTATGGTCCATCATCAAAGGTCATGGCAAAGACGCCAGTACGGTTACAAGAGATATAGACGCCATCTTCGTTTACGTTGCTTGAATTGCTTGCGGGAGCACGCTACAAGATGATTTAGTAAGAAAGGTACATTAAGGGTAAAAGGAACCTACAGTAGAAAGAATGGGCTTTGCAAGGACAGCAGAGGCAGCAAGAGCTAAAGAAGTCAAGACGGTGTTGAAGTGCATTGTTTCTATTCTACTGGGAAGAAGGGCGTTGACAGATGGGAAAATTTGATTGAAATAACCTGCCTATTTATATATTTTCAATTCTTCTTCCTGCTAAATGTTCAGCATCTATTTTTGTATCTCTTTCAGCCAGCGCGACACACCGCCAAGTAAATTACTAGAACGATTTGCACGATCTGTTTACCCGGTATTAGGTCCATATTTGTCTAAAAATAGAAAATAAACTTGAGTATTTCCTTCAACACAGCTCCGAAGGCATGCTATCATAATATTTAATTGTATAAGCCTTGCTGCGCTAGGAAACAAGTAGAGATACGTTTACATAGCAACAAGCAGGGGAAATAAGCCATTTGATTTTGCCGCTTAGCAACATTCAGGTACTATCCAGGCAGCTTCGGAGTGCTTAATTCTAGTACAGCATTTACTTTCTTTTTAGATTATTCCGTTTCCGTTCGTTTGTTAATTGTATTACTTGTTTTTAATGGGCTTTCATGCTATTAATAATTATGTCACACAACGAGGCAGCCTCTTGGGCTCTGCATTAATTTCTAGATCGATTCAAAAGTCCTACTATTTTTATTACATCAGCCCACATTATGTATAGCAACTACAGCATTTTATTTTAATAGAAAAGGATTTTTTTTTTGAAGGAAAGGGAAAGTAGAACTTGGGATCGTTCATAGGATGTAGATCTTTTGATAATAATAGATTTTTTTTTTTTTTTTTTTTTTTTTTTTTTTCCCTGTCGAGTCAACAATGATGCCATTTTGGTCATCGGCACATGTGCATACAAAATAAGGTAAGAGCTTACAGCAATGGATTGTCTCTGAGAAAAGAAACACCAGCCGTTTCCTAATTTTAGACACTGTTTCTACATTTATTTATCTCTTCTTCTTTAGTCATGTTGCCTTCATCCAGCGCTTATCTTTTTCATGTACATTTCTTTCAAGAGAGGATAATTTGGGAGAATATCCAAGCAGCGTTCTTTTTGAACTGTATACAGGTTTCTCCATTTCATTGGCTAAAAGAGACTAAAGTGACAGGTGTTTGATTTTGAGAAACATTTCCTTTTTTAATTACATATGAAGTCAACACAAACAGCTACTGACACAGGTAAGGCTACAGCAAAGGTAAACCATTCCTTTTTCTTCTTAAAAAACACACTGCTATAATAGGCATGGATAAAATAACGTCAGGGTGAGTTGAGCCTAAGCTAATGACTATACAATTTAGGGTACTAACCCTTATAGTAATGGCACTCGTTCAAAATCAAATCAGCCCGACAGTGACGAAGACAGTCCATTAGCAATGGAAAGTTTAGATCATCTTGACGAAAATGACAAACGTTTTTCAGAAGATCACAGCGATTCTATTGCTGAATATTGCGCCGAATCACTCTACAGCTTTAGCTTCACACCTCTATCTCGAGTTCACAAAGCAACCAAGATAAAAAAACAATTGTTAAGCCGCGGAATGGATTATATGCAACGTATCCGATGGAACACGGCTGAAGAGGATAAAAGTCGACGATTTTCTCAACCAGACATAGGCATATCCGAAACAGACGAGTGGTCGACTTCAGAATTGAAATTATCACCATCTGTAAACGATCTAGTTCGCCACCACCTCATCACTCAGGCAAAGCAGAAGGAGTTGGACGACGAAGGGTTCCCTGTAGGACGACGACAGACCATCGAGGCATTTAATCACCTGGGTACTATCCGTGAAGTACCTACATCCACCTCTGCTCAATACAGTCATGCGATTCATGCACCATGTCGCTTTTTACCTCAGAATCAATCTATTGTAACGACTGATTCAGAAGCCACCATATTGTTATTTAACGACATGGCTAGTCTCTGTTTAGGAATAGACCAGTCTTTTATCGGAAAGTCTATTTTGACGACACTAGATAACCCTATTCAGAGACAATTGAAAAGTATACTTAAAAGGCGGCGAAGTATTGATTTTTCAGAAAAGCATAAAGGCGTTGTTCTCGTTTGTGGTATTGTAGTTCCTATCAGAAAAATGAGTGGCGAAAAATCAGCAGCTTCTCTTTGGCTCAAAGAAAAAATCACTGACGAAGGAAATGCGATCTATATCTGGATTCTTGAAGAAATCTATGAAACTTCACTCATCGTTCGTTTGGACGCACGCGGTAACATATTGGGAGTAGATAATACGATTAAGGATCTTTTTGGTTATGAGTCTGAAGACGTCATTGGTAAATCTATCACTCAGCTTATTCCTGGCATTTCTAAAGAGCATGGAGAGTATCCTGATCTGCAGCAAATCGAAAAGATAAAGTACTATGGTGGCCTCTCTCGTAAAGGCCTTGCATTTCCAACCATCATCAGTAGTTCTTCTGGAAGCAATGGCGTGTTGAAAATAGTTTCTCTTCCTTCCGTGGCAGGGCTTATCACAGTTCATATCAATACGGGAAAGATTCAAAGCATTAATCCAGTGCCTGCAAAGTATTTGTTTGGATATTCTCCAGAGACACTTGTTGAAAAATTCAAAATTAACCAAATCATTCCTCGGTTTTCAAACATTGTGTCTGGTCTTCGAAACCATAATCTCTTGCAATATTCATGCACGGTCAATAACCACGTGTGTCGATGGGCAATATCGGGAATAGATAAGGAATATCAATCCATGAGCGCTGAGGAATCGCTAAAATCACTCGAACGACGGCCCTCAATCAATGCCAGTGGACACCCACTTCCAACTATCCATGCTGTGCACCGTGATGGCAGTAGCTTTGAAATTCAAATACAACTACGGCTCATCGAAAGTGATAAGGAGGACTTGATCAGCGTTTGGGTCACTTATGATCGCATTCAGGCAATAGAGCGACAAAATAGAAAACTTAGACATAAACAAAAGCAAGAACAATATCATCAAGAACTCGAACAGATACGTCTCAATAATTTGCAACAGTCATCTATCGTGTCTCCGCCGCCACCAACAGAAACTAGTTCTCCCGTACAACCAAAGAGACGACCACCGATCAGGTCTTATGGTATATCGTCTTTTGGTAATGTGGATGAGTCAAAAGCACTCTTCCCAAAAAACAATAACGCAAGCATAAGTCGAGAAAGTCTACTTAGTAGCAGTGCCTATACGAGTAGCGAGGAGTCTCTGCCTCTTGTTAAAAAAAGCCCCGTGGACGATTATGCTATTTTGAACAATCTTGGAGAAGGCGCCTTTGGTGCAGTTAAACTGGCTTATAGAAGAGATGATCCAAACAAGGAAAAGGTGGTGATAAAGTTCATTAGAAAGGATAGAATAGTCGTCCACTCTTGGATAAGAGATCGAAAACTTGGCCTTGTCCCTATGGAAATTCATATTCTGAAAAAGCTTAAAGACAATCCACATGCCAACTGCTGTTCATTAGGTAAATTCTTTTTTTTTTTCCATTCTTTCATACAAGTGGACATACTAAAATAATAACCATAGAGTCGTTCATGGAAGACGATGAAACATTCTATGCTGTCATGAAATTCCACGGAAGCGAGTGTATGGACCTATTTGACTATGTAGAATTACATATGGGCATTAGCGAAATCGAGATCAAGCGTATATTCTGGCAGATAGCTAAGGCAGTAGAACATATTCATGGCCTTCGTATTGTTCACCGTGATATCAAAGACGAAAACGTGTTAATAGATGAAAATGGTCGTGTCAATCTGATTGATTTCGGAAGCGCTGCTTACTTTAAAGAAGATCGAAAATTTGACACCTTTTGTGGTACACTAGACTATTGCGCACCTGAAATCGTCAAGGGCATGCCCTATGAGGGTCCACCTCAAGACATATACTGCTTAGGGATAGTGCTTTATATATTGATCTATAAAGCAAACCCATTTGTTGACATAGACAAAATCCTGGATCATAACCTAGAGTTTCCTTATGTGCTATCAGAAGGTAAATAGTTTTTTACAATTGCAATTGTTTGTTAATCATGATTTTTTTTTTCCACTTTAGCATCTGTCGATCTTATCAAAGGTATGCTAGATTACAGCCCAGAGAAACGCTTTACAATTGCCCAAGTGTTATCCCATCCATGGCTTCAGAATATTTCGTATGATTAGTTTGTGTATATAAAAGAAACGCTTTCAAATAAATACCATATAGGGAATTTGTATTGCCCATTGTTCTATTTAGTTTTAATTACTGAGTGTTTCTGATGTTGACTACTCAATGTAGTCTAGAAAACCTGCTTTATGTTTCTGATTGAAAAGGATACCGGTGATTCATCTTTTTAAGTTTCTAAAGTATGTTGTCAGTATCTCTCACTCTTAATGTATCAGTACCCATGACAAGACATGAATCCCATAACTGTCTTGTTGTGGTAAAAGTACTCGGATATATATACAGCGTATAATTGTGATTGGCCAATGCTTCTGCCATGGTAACGTCTATATCAATCTTTAGGTCATATATTTGTGTTGTAGTGGAAACGTAGACGAATGCTACATATAGGAACCCAATGCTTCAAAATCATCAACAATATGATCCATAGGTCCTGGCTTACCATTACTTATCGATAACAATGTCGTCCTTTTTTCATGTTTATACAAAGCATTGGAGTACTTATAAAGGCTCCAGTGTAATTGTAATGAACAAACCCAGAGACGACAGTACTATAAATATCTCAGAAACTCAGCAAGTCTTGTTGCGAGTATTGTTTGTCAGTGTAACAGCATCTATTCTTGGAAACGCACGACGTCCATCAGGCGCGGCTTTACTTTTCAGAAACAGTACAGTTTTTCTAGAATGCGTTGCCAAATCGGTTTCATTCGCGGCAATACATTAAGCCAGAACCGATTGGCCAAGAGTCAGTTACCGAGTCTTTACATTGTCATCAACCCGCAGTGTAACTAAAAAATCCACAAATAGGCCTTTCATGAAAAATTTCTCCTTTTATAGACAATATCTCCACTCCTATTCATACGTCCTTTATGCAGCATTCAACTGAAGCACAGGGCAATTTGATGACTCTGCCTCTTTCCCTTATTGGCTTTAAAAAAGAGAAGGAAATAATCTACTGCTGTTACCATGACCATGTGTTATGGAATATTTCGTAATTTAAAGTGTCTGCATTTTCTGCTCAGCTGATGGTAGAAAACAAGGATTGTTACATTTTCATCAGGCTGTCATTTACACGCGATATTCGTACGTTTGTAGAAATGGACTAAAAAGCATACATTTTATACATGGATGTACAATTGTAATATATTTGACAAGGGTAAATTTGTTGCATTACATGGCCGATCTGCACTATTTCCAATGCAAAACTTTAGAGCTCTTTTCTGTTTACTACAAAAACCTTGAGAAGATTCTCATCTAAACCCTTTTTGGTAATTTTGTGTGATCTCGTAAGAAGGTAAAAAAAGGTGTGTGCATGGTCAGCTATATGTCGCGTTGTCAAGGGTGACTTCTCTCTCTGGCGTATCAGTCCTTTTGCCAGAGAATACAGATACAACCAACAATGTTGTTTATTCAGAGCTTTTGCTCAATTAATATATGCATTATGCCCAACTCACTTATGCTCAATTATACTTATGCCATTTTCTTTTTTGTAACTATGTGGCTCTCATTCAATAAAATTATGCGGCCATTACTTTCTCTTTAAATGCATTCACCTTTCTACAACTCATTCAGCATTTACCCTTACTCATCACAAAGGGCGAAGCCTTTAAGCCTGCGACAGCACGACGACATGCAAAAACGAGCGTAGCGAGTTGGAAGCGGCTAGTACTATAGACTGAAATATGAATATTTAAACCGAAGCTCATAAAAGACGGCCTTAACACCATTCGCAATCTAACCGGTTGAATAAAAGTACATTTGTGAGTAAAGCATAAAGAAGAGGCAACACACATCCTTCAAGCTATATTTATAATAGATCATCTTCTGTCATTGTATTCACTGAATTGTTTGATTCCACGCTAAAGCCGACATCAAATGTTACGACAGCATAAGTTTATTGGACCTGAGAAAAGGACGTGATTCTATTGATTAAATAAATTTTGATAAATGAACAACAATAATCTCTTTCACTTTTTGCTCTTCTTTTTGCTTCAAATGAAAAGACATTCTACATCATCCAGTTCAGAGAGACCTTCAAAAGGCGCAAAGCTAAATGAATGTAAGTATTCAATCTTGTTCATTATCAGTCAATATTTAACATTATTCTGGTATAGGTACAGTAGCATCAGCTCAAGAAGCGGATTATTCCAGCACAGTAAATCAAGAAGGTGCCTCTTCTTCCTCGAGTGAACCAGAGCCATCGAAAAAAGTACAACAAAAGATTGATAAGTAAAATGCACTTTTAAAATGCAAAACAGAGCAACAGACTCTAAAGGAAGTCAAGTGCCCCTCTTTGTGGGTTAACGGCACACGCACGATCAACGAGCAACCAGTGCCCAGACAAGAAAGCGATAATGCCTGTATGCAACTCTGATGAAAGGGTTGAAAACTTTGTAATCAAGACATCCTTACCTAATGTTTGTAATAATCGATAACTTGTTCAGCATATCAAGGATCTAGCAGATTATACCACCAAAGTTTTGTTTATGGGACCCCTTTTTGCCAACTTTATCTTCATCAAACTGCTCGATGATGGCCAGGCTATTCCAATTATTGAACAAAGTTTATTCACAAATATATTTGCGGTAATAACTTGAAATGGAAAGAGAGCACCAGACTATCTCAAAGAATGCTTCACTCTTTTCTGTGAACTGACAACTGTAGACCGCGGCACTTTAAAAAGTATAAATTATTCAAGTATTCTTTCCGTCGCTGGTAAGCAATACGAAGTCCTGGTTAGAAATCACATTCACGAGACACACGAACGAAGATCGATAACGTACTTTCTGAATATGATGTCTGACAGCAATTCAAGTAATTATTGTAAAGAACTCCCAGTGGCTTCCAGAAAAGCCTTGGCGTATTTCATTTACAAACAAAAACAAGGTTCAGAGCCATCTTGGCCATCGTCTGTCCTATGCAGTAACTACTATAAAGAAATCACTGAAAGCATAGCAAGCATGTAGTCTAAATACCAACCAGATCAATGTGATTCCGATACGCTTTACTCACAACCTCACCTGTTTTTCAAGTGGTTCTACTTTCTGTCGCAAGAAGTGCAAAAAGAGTTTTTATTATGGAACACGTACCCTCAAAAGACGCTTCCAAAGCGTATGTGTATCGTAAGCTCAGAGAGCTTCCATTTACTAGTGTTTTGAGCAAAAAGAAGTTTAATTCTTTAAGAGAAGAAGCATTGCATTTAATCAATTCCGACAAGACGTTTGCCCCAGGAAAAAAACTAGCCAAGCTTACTCCTCAACAGGTATCAGTAGTTCAAAATTTTATTGATACAGTTAAAACAAGAATACAAGATGGCGCGTTCACTCCTGCTAAATGCACTGACAAAAGAGGGTGTCGTTTTTTCCATTGCGCCTATATATTCCGTTCAGACAAAATCAAACCAAATTGACGCTCAATCTTTTTGGAGACTGGTGAAACAATGTAGCATACCAAATTACCCGAAAGGGAAGAAAACCGAATGACTTGACCGATTTTTACTATCAATTGTTCAATTTTACAAAATTGGGATTTCGTACTAGAGACAATCTTCCGAGCGGGAAGAAGTTTAGGTAAGCTGTGTGTAAAATAATAATACAATATAGGCATATCTAATTACCATTAATAGAAACGTTATAACGACAGAAGATCATTCAGTATCTTTTCTTTTTACCCGAACTGTCAAGAGATCTTTGGCAACAACTAAAAATCCCTCAGATTTTATTGATGACATCCGAAATGGCTGTGATGTTTGGGGAATAGACCCAGGTGTTTCTACAATCTTAACCTCTGTAGATACATCTGGAAGGCAAAGTACAACAAGTTTGGATGAATATTATCATCTGTGCGGCTATAATAATGCAAATTTTATACGAAAGAAGCATCAAGAACAACACACGGCTCAGTTTTTGAAAATTTCTAATTTAAGCTCACTGAAGACATCAAATGTCACAGAGTTTGCAAAAGCCTGCAAGACAGGCTCAGTTTGTATGATGATATTACAAGATACTGTAATGAAAATGCCTGGTAAGTGCAAAGTATGATTTTTTTACTTGTATATTTAAGCAAGCAAAATTTTGTAGGTCATCAAAATTGAAGTTTCAATGCTATATTCGTAAACAAAAAGGGGTGCATGAAATCTGCAAACGGCTAATGCACGGAAGTATGAAGTATAACAAGAAGACGTCTACTGGGGCCAAGACACCGTCTGCTGAAAATGAAAGCAAATATTGCCCTCCTGCTCCTCTTGATCATCCTGACAAGCCCAGAAAAACAATAATTACTTTTGGCGATGACATGTTTAACAGCAGCCTGAGAGGAAACAGAGGGGCATCTGTCCGCCTTATAAAAAAGGCTTTGCAAAAATATTGCGGGAACCAATTAGAAATATGTATGGTAGATGAATATTTGACAAGCCAAATATGCAACAGATGTAAAAATAGAAATATGGACAATATTGTAACTGAGAAGTCAAAACGAAGAGTACATAAGATATTGAAGTGTAAACAAAACACTTGCAACATTGTATGGAGTCGTGATATCATGGCTGCACACAATATCTTGGACATGTTTCTATTCGCTGCAAGAAACAATAATCAGCGTTTTGATGTTTTCACGCGTCAAGGTGCATCTAATGACCAACCTTCCGTATGATTGATATGGCTCTCTCATACGTCCTTACAGTGTAAGTTGTATTAATTATGTCTGAATTTAAAAAGTACGAAAACTGTAACTAAACATTTTTGTTAACGTTGAAACGTAGCATCTTTGGCTAGTCATACTTGATACACCTTTTGCCAAAATGATGTCGCAAGAAAAAAAAACAGTGTCTAGAGGAACTAATTCAACGTAATATCCGTAAGGCCCTTGTAACGGTGAACATGCTGTCATCTGTTGGCGTGAATCCTTCCGGTTTCTCTAAGCTTCTTTGCACCAGGTTTTACGCTCACATCGTTCGACCGCAGCTTGAGTATGACCTAGTTATCAATCGCTTCACGATCTCTCAGCTTTACGCTCTAGAGGAAGCCCAGAATAATTGCATCAAGAAAATCTACGGTGCTCGAGGCAAAGCATCCATTAAGATTATGCTCTACATGCCCAAGTTACCCATCGTGTCTGAACGAGTCAGTATACTACAGGCACAGTTCCTCTTTCGTTCCTTAGATTTACCAGAAGATGCACTGCTTGTTTGTCTGTTACCTTATATCTGCAATACCAGAGGAAGCCAGTGGTACGCTCTCTCTCATACATCGCTTTGAAAAACGGTGCTGTCTGCTACTGAGGAACCCGGCACTCACTCACTCACTCAAGGCTGCTAAATGATGCTTCCTACACAGAACCTAGAGATCTGCCAACAGTGCCGAAACCCCAAGTTGATTTCTAACTGCCGTCGATCAATCTCTCTGGATCCTGTGCTCTGGTTGCCCATGTCTAAGTTAGAGCGCAGTCGCTGTATACACTGGAGACTAGGCTGACTTCCTGGTAGCAAGCCTCGACCATGTTCCAAGCACCCAAAGCAACATCTATCTAAAAATTACGCTATTAGTTGTCTTGATATGCACCAACGTCTGTTCGTGCCTGAAGCTATACAAGATCTATTGTCATTTCTTCTGAATATGTTTCCTTTACGTTCTTCGGTTCCCCTAAACCTAGCCCTCACTTGGTCTCAACAATGGCCGATTATATGCTCTCTATTATATGAGCTAGATCAGCTACACCATAACAAATTGATCTCTACTAAGCGTCCCTATGGTCAAAAGCTTCTTGTATGGTTAAAGCGATTCATTTAAGTTTGCATCGATAGCCCTACTCATTAATTTCCTTTTACTTTTTTTTTACCCTTGTACTATAAGGGGTTTTTTCGCTACCATTGACTTCCAAACGGATTGAACGGGTCCGGGCGGACGTTTGTTATTTTATTTTATTTTTGCGCTCATTTGGACCATCAATAAATAAAGTACAATATTTAAACAAAAAAAAATATGTCACATACAGTAAAAACAACGCCAAAGGGCGAATATTATTTTCCCAAAAGGCGGCAAAAGATACATAATGTATTCTTTCCTTACTAAGTCTGAATGAGTGCACATTTTTCTTATGAGGATGGCCAGGGGAGAATTGTTGACGATGCTCTGGATTAGGAAGAGGAAGTGCATTCCCCTCACCTAGACACGCTAACCCGCCTTAGAATCTGAAAAGCAAGGTCCAGAACAAACTCAGCTGATGGAAGCTTTGTCCACTACAACAGGGTAAAATTATTCCATATTGAATCTGGTAGAATAGCTGATGGAATTGCCGAACAGACAGCACAGAAGTGAGTCAAGAAGTTCAAAGAGGACAAAGATTGGAATATCTTGGAAAAAAAATCAACAAATTTAACAGGACAAAGGGGCAGCTTGAGGAGAGGCATAAGATTTGTCTACTTAACTTTTATGTTGATAACCCTTAAGCAGTACCAAGTTAGAAAAAATCATGCAGACATCAACACTGTTACACTTGAGTTTGCCTGAAGACGTTTTTCCTCAATCGCTTTAAGCATTGCTTCTCTAGATGTTGTACCATCAGCGGAAGATGAGGGAACCTCACCACTCATTGTACGGCCTGGTTCTGAGGAGTTGAACTTTGTCGTTTTCTTCTTGGTAGGAGTAGTAGCGATGATAGTGGGCTTCGATTGGTAACCTTCCTCTTCCTCGCGACTTTCTAGTCTACAGCAATTCTCCTATTTTGTTTATGAATGAGTATTGCTTCTGTTTTAAAAAGCGAACGTATTATATCATCGATGTAATTGTACACTGATTATGAAAAAGATATGTCTATTGTTTATTGCAAAAAGAAAATATAAACAAATGCGCGTGTTCAGGCTTTATAACTTGAAACAACAGATACGCCTTTTTTTTTTTTACTTCTTTGTTCTCTTCTGTGTAATTTCAAATGGAAAACTCAAAAATCAATTACCTACGCGACAATCTAAGCAATTTCCGCTTTGACCTTTATCTTGCTCAGTATAGGTTTAGAAACAGGCAATATGCTGAAGAAGAATTCACGCGTTTGATACACAAAATATTGACATTTAGCATCTGCGAGACTGGACAAGAATTAATCGACTTTGCAAAAAAGATTGACAGTGAACATTATGAAGTGCTTGCATTTATATTATAGCACATATGAAAAATACGGCTAAATAGTGGCGTTTATTTAGATATTTACAAGAGCTGCTGTTATAGATTATTGGGAGGCAGTAGCAAAAGAAATAATCGAAAGTAATCAAAGGTCAGCTTTGTTAGACGAAAGGATAGCCAGCTCCAGCTCCAGGACGATAGCTTCTGCAAACGGAAATTTGGTATGTATTGCATTTTATTCTTATAATTCAACTATTAACTAAACTATACGGTTCAAAGTAGAGAGGCAAAAGAAGAGCCAATAGTAAGTTGCCATATCAGAGACATATTACTAAAAAATATACATGTCTTTAATATTTTTTTGTTTTTAGACCAACTTGAACCATCAACTGCAGATGCTAAAAGGTATAGTTACAGTTTTGTTTATTTTTCTCGTCTTCCGTTTATTTATTTGGCCATTTTATCTGTACAGTCCTAGGTTGAATGAAGTATTTAGTGAAGTCTCTGGCATTCCCTTTACCACTCTTACCAATAGGTATATGTGAATATTAATATAAAAATAATATTTTTGTTCTTATTTCTTGTGGCTTTAGATTAATCAAAAATAATTGTATGGATTTATCAAACGATTCTGATGGAAGTGTTTTGTTCTACCTGCCCACTGAAAAAGCTGAGGCCTTGAAAGAGAAATATCTAAAAAATCCAAAGCTCATTAAACTAGATCATGGGGCAATAAAGGTTGTAAGAAGCCTATTAAAGGTAATAAACGTGCATACTACGTTGACACGCATGTGGCTCTTTAACCTAACAGCTCACAACTTAGAAAAAAAATCAAGTTGGTGATTTAAAGACCACTCTGTTATTCCTTGAACAAGCGTTTAAAAGTCCTAACAACTCTCAGATCTTTATGGTTTTTCACAAAGTGTAAAGTAGCTCATATCAATAACAACGCGCATTAACAACAATCATACTAATTGGCATCTATATTTTTTGCTATACAAAGACTAGATATTCATATGTCAGTTCCCGAGTTTTTCAACAATAACGAAATTGTCTATTGCTCTGAACAAGACTTTATAATCAAGGCTTGGGGCCCTATTCTCTCTGAAATCTTCAAGCAAGCAAAGTTGACGCTTCGATGGTAAATGCATAGCTTATTCAAATATATTAAAATCATTATTAACATGATATTGTAATCAAAAGGGGCGATACCACCATGGAAAACACAACTGCACCATTTAAAGTTGATTTGAGGGTGATCTGTACGATCAATGGAGATAGGTATGATGTCGGCTTTGTCGAATTTGCAAAGAATTTTACTGCTTCAAAAGCGCAAAAGGATCGCGTGAAGTTAATCTTGGAAGGAAAAGAGGCTTTAAATACTGTATTCAAGGTCATTGGAAAATACGTTCCTGATATCGAATTTTATACGCTACAGATTGCTGGTCTGAAAGGACATTTAATTTCCACTACACTTCAAAGCAATGGTCTTTATACAGCCCAAAACATCAACAATCGAATTAGATTTCCTCTCACCAACAACGACATCTTCGATCAAACAAGCCACTTAATGAAAGCTATTATCAAATTCAAGGTAGTGATGCGAAACATATATGTTGATTTCAAAAGTGGGCTAATTAAACGTTCAATTGTAGGCACAATGTTTGAAGATAAATGATGTCTTGGAAAAGGCACTTGCTATAAAAAACCAAGAAAGACTTTCTTTTGAAACTGTCCTTGATAAATCGGCAAAGAAAAAATACCGATCTCAACCTCTCCCACTCAGCGTCATTAAAGTGCCTGGGTACTGCACTCCCCTTTGGCTTGAAGAAGGATATGAAGATGAATGAGCGCTCTTTGTTTCTCTTTTCATAAATAAATTTATGTACATAATGATTAGGTATAGCAATCTTTTCTTCATCATCCTCTACTTCGCTGGGATTAGTTTTATTGCCTTTATCTTTACTTTGAATACACATAGAAAGTAACGAGTTACATATAATAGTGCTAGATAGTATAAGAATTACAAACTATATGTAAATACTTGATAATCCTTCTTGTTTGAGTCCGTCTAAGTTGAGCTAAATGTCTAATCAGCGCGGTTCCTATAAAAAATCTCCGACTTTTTACAACCTTTAATGGATTCTTCGAGAACTAGGTCGGTTATGAATCTTTGGGCTGAAGCACCTCAATTCTTGTAAGTCTAAACCGTTTTTTATTGGCTCTCTTCTACATACGTGAGACCGATAATATGCGTTTGCTTCCAAGTGTACTTTGCACGAAAAGTATAACAGCAATGGGCTGCTCATTGTAGTAGCACTTGCTATGCTGATTTTGGTGCATACAGAATATGTCAAAATGCACAGCCCTGTGGTTGGTCAATCTGCTAATCCAAATTTTATAACCAGCAGTTTCTGAGTGACCCTATTTCTGTGTGTATACATAGTTCAAATATAATAAGGGAGGATATGTAAAGACAGAAGTAAAAGTATTTCAAGACTGCTTGTGTGCATTTATTTCAGTAAAGCTATTTTAGAAGATAGAGATGAATGCATCTACCTCAAATAATGAATTAAAATAATAAAATATCTTGTTAATACGTGAATTGTTCAGTAGCTATTATAGCAGCTTTAAGTATTGTTTTAACGTGAAGATGAGAATACAATTAACTTTACGATAGCTAACGGCATTTATTACACTTATTGATATTATGTATATATACGCTATATCACAACAAAGCAATCAGATTTCAGTATTAGCAACGGGCTAATTTTCCGCAAATTGAAACGAAAATAACATTTTTCGCATTGGGAGAAAAACTTTCGTAGTTGTCAAAAAGAAGACCAGTACAAATTCGACGTTGAGAGGCGGAAGTTGTTCTAGGATATAAATTAGATTCCCAAAGATAAGCACAATCATATCCTAATAAGAGTCGGTTTCGGCATTAGCTTAAAAAAACATGTATATATATTTAAACATATACACTTATTTCTAATCTTGCAGAACTTCCATTCCATTAAAACTATAGCCACCATCCCTCAGCTATTTGCCTATTTCTAGGAAGAGAGGCAGAGGCGCGGTCAGGTCATGCCTTG